TGAGTTCAGTATAAGGCATGAGTTTAAGGTTATAAATTATTATATGATTTATTTATTCCTTCCACATTGCAATAGTGTTAATACACCAATGAGTATGACATGCATCTACCACAGTTTGGGTTTACAGTAAAGACAGAATTAATAGCCTATACTGTACATAGAAAATTTTCAACAGTATACAGTATAAATGTCTATCATATTCTGCTCTTTTTATTGTGAGTTGAATGCTATTTCTGTCAATGGACCTTTAAACTATGTTACAAGAGGATATACATTATTAATATGAAAGTGCTCACCATTTTTGCACTTCTGATGTTCCATTTTAGTTGCAAGTGCAGTAAATGGACCCTAGTCATAATAAGCCTTAACTTAACCATTGGGATTGACAACCCTTAAATTGTCGTCATGAGAAGAATATGGTATTTAGTTGTCTATCTAGACGTCACAACTGTTAGTTGTTCTAGGTGATCAGATCACCTAGAACAACAAACCTGTGACATCTCTATCAGATTTTGATGGAGATGTCACTGGCCTAAGAAAACATTGTTAACTATTCACTAGAAGTTATAATGGTAGTGTGTGTAGTTGCTATGACTTTTTTTATCAACCTTTTTTTGCTGGAGGTTTAACTTCTAGTGTTGTTATATTTAAATGTTTAGATGAAGTGTTACACCATTCTTGTACTTGTGAAAAAGAAATACAGTACATTTGTTGTAGTCACAGGAACAATAAAAATACAGGAATTCCAAAGTGTTTGTGCTTTATTGATTTGACTTTAGAATTCTGCCTGTTTCAGTAATACAGTACTGTATATCATAACCAATGTGCATACTCACTGACACATCATAATTGTATTGTGTTTGGCTCAGTGTTATATTATAATTGTGTTTTTCGTACCTCAGTTATATATCATGATGACCATTATCTATACAGGGTACTGTACAGTACAGTACATTATTGCAATAACTTCATGACATTACTGTACATGTTTGTGAGATAATTGATGACTTCAAAGTTTGCTTCGCTTTAAGAGATATATTACGATTATGTAAGCAAGAGTCACATCCTTTATATCAATACTTAACATTGAAGGATGATGCTGCTGTACTTTTCATAAGCTTTACTACACTCAAAACATTGTTAGAGATTAGTACTTCCATTGGTCGGTGATTTTTTGCAAAAAGGCTTCGAAAAAGCTATTTATGTTTGGTAAATAGTTTATGGAAAACATTAATCCAGGGTGATATATGGCAGGGTAAATATATACCTGTAGTACAGTACTGTATATGCATTAAGTCTTTGTTCACATTTTCATTAATGAATACTGTAGTGCCTAGTGCAGTTTATTTTATAAATTTCAGAAATGTTTTCTGTAAGAGTTTCTCAAGCTGTTACAGTAAGTTCCTTATTATGTAAATCCTTGTTAATGTATCATTAACCAATTCTTAATTTGTTTAACAAAAAATCATTGTTGCAGATCTAGTGATGAAAAAAGCATTTATATATTCAGCCAGTCCTCCCTATATGCTCCAATTAGTGTTCTCTGCACAGGTAATGCAGTATTGCATAAAATGGATTGTTAACATTACCTTATTTTTGTTTTGTTTAGTCATGGTCAATATAATTACAGGGTGTCAAAAAGTATCAAAGTCATTATAAGAAGTGTGTGATTGCTTTAAGTCACTGAGATTCATAATGCTCTATCATTTACTGTAACATTGATTCAGATTTTATATGTACGGTAATTAATAATTTGGCACTATGACTGACCAGTGTAGGATATATTGCTCCACACTGGGTAACTCTCAGTTTGTACCCAGCTTCAGAGGCTACAGTACACGTATCAGGAATACAAAGGAGGTGAGATACTCTTTTTGGAATTTGTGAGGAAGGTCTACTGTATACAGTATACAGTAGTTTGTATAAGAGCTTTAAATTAGATTCTTGCCAGTTTTGAACTGTTATTTATCTACTGTACTAACCACCTGAATTTCTATGCATGCCTTAATATGTACAGAAATTTAGGTGCAGTGAATAGATACATACAGTATACGGTACTGTACTGGATATTTCTCAAATGTTTTAATTGTTGTATTACTGTACAGAGTATATGTGTAAGTACAGAGGTTCAAAGTTGGCAAGACACTGACTTTTAGGTTCATACACACACATAGTAAATGTAATTTTAAAAATGCACAAAGGTTTCAAAACATTATTATGCCAAATTTGAGCCACCAATATGACCTCTTAAATAATGTAACAAAAGTGTTGTTTTAATATGCAGGGTATTTGCTTACCATAACTTTGCCTATGTCATTAAAGTCTTGTTACATTTTTACCTAGAAAAAAATAGTCATTGTATCTGTTATAATGAGCAGGTGGTTGAAGTTGTGAATATCAAAGTCTTCCATAATGTTATTTTATATTCTGTATGTAGAAGGGCATTTGTGGTCATAAGAATTTCCCTATACAATACTTAATGATTCATAAAAGGGCAGTTTCATTCCAAGATACTGTTATTCTGTATATGTGAGATTTAAATAATAGACAATACGTATATATATTATATAGCTATGTTATTACCCGGTATTTGGGTTTTTCCTGAGATTTTTGCCTTCAGTCGTCACAAACAGTTAACTCCTTTACTGTTATGATAAACCTGTAGAACAACATGTCTGTGATATTATTGCACCCAACATGATATCTCCAGAAAACATGTTATCTTTTACTTTTAAATCTGAATGGAAAAAGTTTCTCAATAGAGACCACAGGGCTCTATCCTTGACCTACCCTGTTTGTGATCTGCATAAACAACATAGATGAGGACATATCGAGCCACATTGTCAAATTTGTAGATGACATAAAGATACAGTATTTGGAAAGGTAGCAAGTATGAAGAAAGACCTGCAGGAGCTGTTCAAATGGTCTTGAGATTGTAACTGCTTAGCTTAAACTATAGGTGAGCAAGGGGTGACTTAATTGAAGTATACAAACATCTCTGAGGGCCCTACTCAGTCGAGTGCCCATACCTGGAGCTGGTGGATGCCCACCCCACGAGGGGTTACAGCTCAAGGTTAAAGAACCCATAAGTTCAGAAAATTGTGAGACCAAACTTTCAGAGTGAGAATTGTAAACTCTTGGAACAATCTGCCAAGTGTGAGCTCCTTCAAGACCAGACTTGACCAACACTGGAGGCTGGAGCAGGTAGATACATTCTGGAGCCAGTACTTGCTAACAGTGCATAACAGAAATGTGACCAACTGCTCAAGAGGCTAACAAGTCCATCAGTGGTGAAGAGGATAAAAAAAAAAAAAAATTACAAAATTCAAGACCCTACATGTAGGATATACAACTATATTCTGTCAATAATACTTTCCTGGATACTGTTGACAAGGGGAAAGATCTTGGCATTGTGATAGCTCATTAACTGAATATGGCAAAAGTTTGAGCAGCAGTGAGAAAAGCCAATTGAGATTTGGGAATTATAAAACATACTTTTGAATACAAGATAGGAAAATGCTCCTTCAGCTGTACAAATCCCAGGTACATCCCAGTCTGGATTACAGTATACAGGCATGGAAACCTGAACCCAGAAAGATCTAACATTCTTAGAAGAGGTGCAACAGACAAGGCAAAATAGGCATAAGAAACATTCAAAACCCTGAAAGGGATGGAAGACGTGAACCGTGTGTAAAAGTTTCAGCTTACCCCCGCCTCGTGATTATTTGACCCTAGGTTGAAAGTAACCCTTCCAGTTTCAAATCACCCCCTATTTCTCACAGCACATTTGGCCATATACAGTAGATATAAAGATAGATCAAATTTTATTGAATGTTTGTTTTCTGTAGTTAAGCAAGTATTGAGTTTTGAAAATGTAATTAATTGTGTAGTCTTAGAGAGGAAGTCACATGTGTATGTACTGTAGACTTCTATCCGTATGCATACCTATGCATGTGCCTTAGGGTGCCCACCGTGGTATTTTTCCAACATGCAAAGCATACTTTATTATGAGTATGTGTTGGGGTAATTTGAAATAAAAGGGGGTAGTTTAAACCAAAGTTTTTATTACCCCCAGGGCATATTGAACCTAGTTAGAGCATATCCCCTGTACTTTAAAACTAGGTTCCAATTACTGGGGGGGTAATTTGAAATTGTTACACCGGGCCATTTCTTTGTGATATCATGCACCACCAACATGATAGGACACAACTAAAAGCTTACCATATCATCCAGAACGAATTTAAAGAAATACTTCTTTACACAGTATACAGACAAAACCCCAATGGACAAAACCCCAACCCATTATATGAAAAGTGGACAAAACCCCAGTCTCATATATAAAATAAAACACTTTTATGTTTGCAAACACACATTCTACATACATTTTATTTTGCACAATCCACAAAACCCTTTTACATTTGTAGGTAATTGACACTTACAATACACAATATATGCTCCACTTATGAGAATGGTGAACGGAAATAGTCAGAAAAAAAGTCACGTGTCTTGTACACATTGTATATATGATGGCATTGCCCGTAGGTTAGGTTAGGTTAGGTTTTTTCCGTTGGGGTTTTGTCATGGATTCGGTTACAAAAGCTTAAATTACAGTAAATTGGCTATGTTAGATTAGGTTAGATTTGGATATCTAAATACAGGGATGACCAAAACTAAAATTTTACCCTATATAGAATCCCTCCAGTGTTCCTGATAATTTTGTCAGCGAGTATTTTGTAGCCCAGTACTGTTCCCGATTCAACAGCTGATACCACCCTCTGTGTGAAGGAATCCAAATCTAACCTAATCTAACATAGCCAATTTACTGTAATCTAAGCTAATGTAACCAAATCAATAACACAGATGACCAAAATTAAAATAATAACCTACACGGGCCACTTGCCCCCATCCCTCGACATGGGTACCTCTAATTAGTGGCCATTAGGCAAATAAGATAAATACCAAGAAATCTATTAATTGGCAAATACTGCATATATCCATACCTGTTGCTTGTATAGAAGAGGGGAACCAGGTGGAGCCAAGTGAAGCTGGGGAAGCGGCAGCTGTTTACTTCACGCAGGCCTGGAGCCAAGGAATGTATATAGGAAGAAACTTGTCTTACAGTTACTCAATGTAGATGCCTGTAGTGCATACGCCTGGCAACTAGATGGCACTGGTCAAATGGCTTCACCAGTGTGTTGTGTGCGGCACAAATAAAAACAATAAAGATGAGGTAAGAGTGACACAAGTTTAAACCATATTTTGAAAAGCAAGCAGAGAAGTGAGTAAAACTCGCGAGCTTGGGCTCTTTGTCAATAGTACACAATGGTAATAATAGGATGCGGTTAGCACCAGAACTGCACCAAATTTTCAGATGTTTACTTTTACTTTTATCCTCTTCACCACTGATCGACTCGCTAGCCGCCCGGGCGATCGGTCACGTCTCTGTCACGCACTGTTGGCAAATACTGGGCATGCACCGTCTCCTGAATGTATCTGAACCCGCTCCAGTGTTGGTCAAGTCTTGTCTTGAAAGAGCTCAGGATGTATGCCCTTGTGTACAATGATAATATATATATATATATATATATATATATATATATATATATATATATATATATATATATATATATATATATATATATATATATATATCTTGATAAAATCACACGGGAAAAGGGAAACAACGGTGCTCCGTTGTTTCCCTTTTCCCGTGTGATTTTATCAAGATTTATCTTATCCACGTTTTCATTGTCGATCTACATGAAATATATATATATATATATATATATATATTCTATCATAGTACACCCGCAAAAGATAAAAAAATTGTTTTCTTTCTTAAGGACGCCTGACCACTAGATGGCGAGCCAATCGGAAATCTCAAAGCCAAGCACAGTAGACACGAGTCCTCCTATATACTTTGTTTGCCGGGAATGTTGCAGGTGGTGTTCAGGCTTAAGAAGCTGCCAGAACCTAGTGACGTGGAAAATAATCAGCTGCCTGCCATGTGATTACAGTGATAAACTTACGCCTCACCAGAGTCCATCATGTGGAAAATCGCTATCGTCTATACTATTTTGCAAACAATATTCCCCATAAATGATGGCGTCGAGGAGAAACTATGTAAGACCACCTCATCGGGTATATTTATTACAATTTACATTATATTGGTTCATTTTGTCTACGTTAGAGATGTTTGGATGGTAGTAAGAAAATCGAAACGACAATGCACAGGTTAGGAAGTTAGGTAAAGGTTATGTCAGGTTCTATCGCGTTCTGTGCAGTGTTTCATTTTTTTTTAATATTCAAACATCTGAAAATTTAGTGCAATATACCATACAGTCCTTCTGTTTATAATGATGACTGATCTGCCGACGCGTTATTTGTTTTGGTGTTTATTTTCTTACTATATTTTCATCAGTGAGTTCTGATATTATGATAATAAATACTTGTACAAATTCTTCATTCAGTGGTAAAGGTGTAGAAGAGGGTGATCACCAGAAGTAATTGTCGGAATCGGTTGAAAATTTTTCGACACAATAATATCATATTAAACGCAAAAATGGAAACGACAATGCTTAGAACCTAATAGAACCTGACCTAACATACCCAACCTATGGGTGTGTTAGGTCAGATTTTTATTAGGTTCTATGCATTATCTTGTTAATTTGTGTGTTAAACAACTTACCTTAATATTGAGGTTGATATACATCAGCAATGGCGAGGAGGAATACTTGGAAGCGTTCACCATCATTTAGGAAACATCTCTTGTAGAGGGATTTAGCGAGGTAAACACAAAAATGGCGCTGGGAGGAGAATTGTGAAGCGGGATAGAGTAAATAAAAAGATTGCCGGGTTCTATTAGGTTCTATGCTTTGTCGTTTCCATTTCTGCATTTAATATAATGTTATTAGCATTATATACAAAAATAAATACAAAATAATGTATAGACTCTAATAAGAACATAAGAACATAAGAAAGTGGGATACTGCAGGAGGCCGACTGGCCCATACAGGGCAGATCCTTTTCACACCCATCCCAGCACTTCCATGTGCCTATCCAACTTCGTCTTGAAGCTCCCTAGCGTCCCCGATCCTACTATAGCACTCGGTAGCCTATTCCACATATCCACAACTCTATTACCAAACCAGTGCTTGCCTATATCCTTTCTGAATCGGAATTTATCTAATTTAAAGCCATTTGTTCTAGTTATTTCGTTATTACTGAGCTTCAGAACATCTTCCATTTTACCTGGCCTAACATACCCAACCTATGGGTATGTTAGGTCAGGTTCCATTAGGTTCTATGCATTGTTGCTAAAATTTTGTGTTTCATATCCTGATATTAGTGTGCAGAAAAAAATTCAACCAATTTGGACTATTCCTTTTGGTGGTCACCCTCTTCTACACCTTTACCCATTTGGTATATATTTAGGTGCTTCGACGCCAATAATATTGATGTTTTTCAAAACACTGCGCTGCACTCTGATCGAAGCCTACGCTCGATGTACTATAACAGGCGCATAGACCGGGCGGCTGCTCCCATGTTCACAAAAAATGTAAAATTGCATCATATCATAGCAAGTTCTTTCTGTTTAATATGCTCCATTTGTATACAGTGGTCCCTCGGTTAACGAGCACCTCGGTTAACGAGATTTCGGTTAACGATTTACCTTCCATAAGATTCTTAACTTCGGTTAACGAGCAATCCCTCGATTAACGAGTTTTTTACGAGCCGACTTCAACATGTTTTCGCTTGCATTTGGCGGTCCACCAGCTGTAGTATTAGTCCGCCAATACAGTAATCGGTTTTAGGGCTTAAATTCCTTACTATTTTAGTAAATATCAAGAAGTTTATACTATTCAATAATTTTAAAAGTTTAATATAATCTTTTTTAGTCATTTTAACAATTATTGAACATAATTGAAGGTAAAGAAACTAGTTTCTGGCGTGCCATCCAGCCTGTTAACTCACCAGACAGGCGTTAGTCTCTCTCTCTGTTTTCAGTGGAGGTAACATCTTGCTTGAGACTCTCTTCAACTAAACGCTTTTTTTCTGTGTTTCCAAGCAAATTATTGGTCATTTTGAAATATATTTTACATATTGACAATATATAATGCAGTGCAGTGTTGATTTAAAGAAAATAATCTTGAATTACACCATGAGAGCTAAAATTTTATGGGTGAAATGGCGCCTTGGGGTGACTTCTCTTCCACTCCAATGCCTTCTCTTCTTCCTTCTCCTCCACACCCATTCTAATTCCCATCATCATCATCATCCAGGAGCCTTCTACATACACACCTCAGAGTAAGTGTACTTTTCTACCTTTTTTTGTTGAATTTAGGCAATTTTCGGTGAGCTGGAACCAATTACCCAAAAACCCATTGAAACAATGGTTTCGGTTAACTAGTTTTTCGGTTAACGAGCAACCTGCTGGAACGGATTGTGCTCGTTAACCGAGGGACCACTGTAATCATTTTCTATTAAAATTTGCCAGCAGGTCAGTCATTTGTAATTACCAGTCCTCCTGGTATTAACCTTCTCACCATTACCAAAGATGGTCATTTTGTGGTCAATTTATGATAGTAGCCAGGTTTCGATTTTTCCATAAAATGAACGTTTTTCCTGTGGCTTTTCTTGTGATTCGAACAAATCTGACCTTCGTTTCTGGTGCTAATAACCCTAACCTAACCTCACCTCGGACCTCCCTCCAATGCATTATTCTCCTCAGTTCATTGTTTACCTATTACTGAGAACATAGCTCTTCAAAGGGATGTTGTGGTTTTTTTAACAAATTATATCTCCGTTATTTCTTGTCAGCGCAGAAAGTGTCATAGAAGAAATTTGTCTTATTTTTGTCAGGCAATATGGTTGCAAGCAATAAAATAATGGCATTTGAAACCTGGCTACTGTACTATCCTAAATTTACCCAATTTGTAGCTTCAACCAACCACAACTCTTGAGAAGAGCAATGTATTTTTTCCAATGGTTAAGACAATATTAAGACATTTTTCTATGACGTCTCCCATGCAAATGACTTAAATATACCGGGGGATCCAGGGGGGACAGAGGCTAGGAGGTTAGGTTAGGTTAGGTAATTTTAGGTCGTTTGCGAGGGAAATGTCATAGAAGAAGAGTGTCTTAGATTTGTCTAAAATATTGATTGCAGAGATAAAATTCCCAATATTTTAATTATGCCCTCTACTATAAATTGACCACAACAGCAGCAACTTTACAAAATCTTGGTATGAATAGACAGTTATGGTAAATTATTGTTTATTAGTTTGGTGATACACAGTACACACCAAAGTGGCAACTTCCCAGCCTCAACAACAGTGTCATAATCATCCTCTCCATACTCATGAACACTTACTGTACAGTGAATATTACTACAGATTGAACTTCGCTAGTCCAACAAGCTTGGGACCAGACTGGTGCCAGACTAAACTACTGAAGCTTAGGTTTAAAGGGAAAAACAATGTGTATACTGTATTGTACTGCTACAACTTAGGTAAGTATGCACCTAGCCCAGGTCTATTGGTCATCGTATTTCACACACAATGCTCTGACTGATGTACCATTGTAAAGTTTTTATAAAAAGAGTTAATGTTACATGATTAAACTTTGCAGCATTACAAACACTTCCACTTGCTGGTCTCTTAGGAGGCATATTGTGAGGTAAATTTGAGATAAAAAAAGATAAATGTAGAAGCACCAATCACTAGAAGTGGGTTGTGGCAGTTGTAAACAATGCTGCTGATTATTGTGAGCTACAGTGGTGCCGCACTGGACAACTAGCCAAGTGACAGTTTCAAAGCTGTCGAACTATTGAATTCCTCACAACTGAAGTTCAACCTGTATTATTATTTTATATGTTGATTTATTGTAAGTAAGGTGAACCAACCAAAACTACTTATTCTAGGATGGAAGTACGATACACTATATTAATATAGGTTGGGTTGGTTGGTAGATTTGATTTCGTTAGGCAGACTTGTATTCAAAGGAAGGAAGGTCAATTATTCACTGGTTGTGGAACATAATATTGCTTAGTATTTGGGGTTGATTGGTCACTCCAAAGTGTTAGTCAACATGGGTGTAACCATCCTCTGCCATTTTTGCATTTTAAATGTTGTTGTCACAAATGTTCATAAGCAACCAAATGCCTCTAGTAATCTTTTTATATGACTATGTCTATCATGAACTCAGCGTGCTTCCCTGTTGGGTGCTGTAAACGCTTTTGTGCTTTGCCTTGCACAATGATGCAAGGGGATGCTCAATAAATTAGCCCCTCATGGGGAAAATCTGAAATCCCTAGCCACTAGTACACAGTACAGTACTGTATCACTGAATCTGAGATAACATGAACCAACCCTACCTAACCTCATGATGGTGTATTTTCTTACTGTACAATAATGTAATAGTTTTTATTTTTTCTTCTAAGTTACAAGATAAGTACAATATACTGTATGAGAGTATTGTTGTATTTATCATGTAAGAAAAGTGTCTTGAGAACACTACTGGTTCAGTATTTCCTTCACACATGCAATATTATTGTCACTCCTGACTCGGTTGCATCATCTATTAGTGCATCAAGTATAAAAGAAGTAGAGAGAAAATTGCTTTTAATTTCCTTAAGAAACATCATGTACACCATGGTCTCAAACCTTCAACATTATGGGAACTGATAGGAGCCATGATTTAACTCTGATGTTAATTTAGGAGGGACAAACTACCGACTAATATCTGTACTGTACTGTTTTCATTCTTACAGTACAAAGTACTGTACTCAGTGATTTGTTCCAGATGACATTAGATACAGTTCAGTGATACTGTAGTTGTCAGACTCCAGGTGAAGTTTCCATGCATTAAAACAAGGCTGTCATTCTGCATACATCACATTACTTATAAATCTGTTTTCCACAAATCCCAGCTAGTTTGAACCAGAGTTGCCCTTGATTTTCAGTATTTTATGGTTTTTATAAGATTTATCTCCTAATTTCTCATATAATTCGTGCATGATTCATGACATCTACTGTCATAAGTGGTTTGGCACTGAAAGAGCATTGTTGACAAGACTCATAAATTAGCATTTGTGTTTTGCATGATCCTTCACTAGATTTATATTTGATGCACTGAAGTAAATACCTATACTGTACCTGCATATCCATAGTTTGCCTGACAAAATTACAAGAAAAATGGAGAAGCTCTCCTTAGTATACTTTCACAAACATAGAGTTTATGATGAGAGAAAATTATGACATGGTGTTTTATTTTCTACCTTAGTTTCATATGCTGTGTGGAATGAAGCTACTATATTTGACTTCATTGAGGATGACATCTTCTTCGAGGTTCTCTACCCTCAGGAATTGAGCTATACTTATCGTCTCCGTCAAGCAAAAAACATTGGAATTCCTTTTGTAAGTTTCTCAGATATTGGAGAAAATCAGTTATATTTATTTTGTGAAATCTAGGTTATAATAACATCCAGCCTTCAATTAAACAAGCTAGATCAAGTTATAACCAGGTTTTAAGTTTAATAAAAATTATAATAGATTTAAACATTTGCTTTTCTTGTACTGTAGTATTGTAATTTAGGAGTTGGTCACAAAACTCATACCCGGTACTGTATTGTGACAAGTGGTGTTAGGAAAAACAGGTACTGTACTACGTGGTACTAGACTTTCATGAGCAAAAGTCCAGTATTAATTTTAGTTCTGTGATTATAATATATATATATATATATATATATACACACACACACAGTATATATACAGGTACTCCTCGACTTACGACCTACTCGACTTACGACCAACCATACATACGACCGCCACAGTCGTACCAAAATTTTTTCTAGTTACGTATTTTCGAGTCCCAACATTAGTGATTGCACTGTGTTCTAACAAAATTTTCGTTTTTAATTCTCTTTAAAATGGCTGGCAAGCTTAAAAGTGAGAGTTTTGTGGTGCTGAGAAGAAAGAGACACCCATTTTAGATTTTCTATGTATTATTTTCGCATTTTTGACTTACTACCAATTCGACTTACGACTTGGATTTGGGTCCCTAACCCCGTCGTAAGTCGGGGACTGCCTATATATATTTGTGGGGTTTATTTAAATTTTTTTTTTTTAAATAAATTGAATTTATATTATCCATATATTTTTGAGTATGGAGATTGATAAAGTGGTGTTGAGCAACAGAACTTCAGACAATTGGTATTGTACTCTTTTTGCCTGTTAAAGAAATAAACATTTTCATTTGCTATACAAAACTTAACTTAATGGAATAGATATACTGTCGTGTTTATTTAACTCTTAGTGTAATGATATACATAACCCCTTGAGTGGGTTTGTGGTGGTTCTTGTTTTATCCAATAGCTGCCTTCAGGTAATCACCACTAACCTGCGCAATCGTGGAGAATGGCCGTAAAACATTGATGATGACATTGCACCTGGCTTAACCATTACAATGTGGTTTGTGCAGCGGTCGAGTGGATACAGCGCTCACCTCCCATTTCATGGGTTGGTGGTTCAATCCTTGGGCACCCTGTAAACCCAGCTGTAAATGGGTACCTAAGTTTACTACTGGGGATTGTGAACGCAATTGAGAGCAGTACCGGCCATGCTGCCTCCCTCGTGTACTGAAGGTTTTGTATAGTGTGTGCTGCATCCACACTGTTCCTAATGGGCAATCATGCCTATGGGATCCACTTTCAATGCTGTCTAGTGGTGATAATGAATCCAGAACTGTACTTGGGTTATATATATTGTATATAAAGTGGAAAGGTCTTGAAAGTTAGCTTGCAGAATCCTTCAGCAAATGCTTTCAGCTTTTTTGTTTATAGTTTTTGACAGCAGCATATGTAATTATAGTACTTAACATGACCGCATTCCTAAATAAACTGTATATGGTACAGGTATTTAAATTTTTGCTGGGAAAGATTGATGAAGTAAAATTATGTTCACCCAGGAATATATCTGTAGATATGTCACCTGATGTGACAATATTTTTTTGCTGCATTTTGCTATTTCTATTTTATTAATCCAATTTTTCCAGACGCACGTATTTCATGGAGTTCGGCTAGTGGTGGCTGATCCTATGGAATGTTGTTCACTGCCTTATAATGCACCTGAACTTAAAGGGGCTGTTGCCTTAGTTTCAAGAGGGTAAGTAGCAAGCCTTAATATTAGGTAAATTTGATGTTATAGGAATACAGGTATCACAAATGAACTTGAGCCAGGCTCCATACTGTACATTGTAAAGTAGACTCAGGTGATTTTTTTAATAAACAAAAATTCTTCCCAATTTAACTTGATAACATTGTTCTTTTTTAGGTTCTCTATCAAATTCATGTTTAGTTTCTGCATTTTCTTTTTATAAACTCTGAAAAAAAAAAGGCATTGCATTGTGGCATAATTTTATATATGAGGGAGTTTACTTGAAGTTCTATTGGTATTCCAGTTCACTTTAGGTAAGTATTGTGTTTTCACTCTATCTGCAGAACCAGTTGGTGGAAATCAGTTGAAAATATTAATCAGGAGGTCCTTATCCTGGCACTGTTTTTTATGTCAGACATTTATGAAAGTAACTGAAATGACAAAAATAACAAATAATGCTGTCCTGTCCTGTATGTAGGTAACTAGCAACCTTGGGAGTTTGGGGTGCTGGTTTCTAGGCAATACTGTACCAATATAAAAATGGATGTGCTTAGACATTTTGAAAAAGGAACGAGCTTTAGATGTTGCTGGAACCATAGGCTGAGTGTTCAACATCTTTTCTGTTCATTTTGTGTTTTTTTGTTTAAGTTTTTGTTTGTTAAAAATTCTAAAAAAAAATTTATTTTAAGTAAATCTTTATTTTTAACATTGTTTTGTTTTTTCAAACAAAAAACTCCTCAAAGTTTCATTCAAAGTAGATCTCAGTGTTTAAGTAAATCTTAACATTTAGCATATCACTTTTTTTTTATTATTATTCTTTCCAGGAAAAATATCCTTGTGCCAAAACACACCTAGAGCTTTGTCCTTCCTTTTCTTAGTATTTTTTTTAATGGTATTTCCACTATTTCCTGTGTTGCAGTTAGTAAATTAACATTCTCTGGTTTGACAACCTACCAGTGAAACATTATCTGGAACATTGGTAAATGTAAATCCCCATTTAATATGTAAAATCGTCTTCCTCTCTACTGGTTTCACTTACACCAGCCTTTCTTGGAAGGTCATCCTCAGCATAAATGAGGGAATTCTTTGTCTCTGTTATCTGATCATTCTTACTTTAAATATTTAAATTTAACTTTTATATTTTTAGGGATTGCTCATTCGTGAGTAAAGCCATAAAAGCTGAACAAGCAGGAGCACTTGCCGTTATTGTGATGGACAACAACCCTGAAAATGACGAATTTTATATTGAGATGGTAAAGGATGACACCAACCGAGATCCAAAAATACCAGCAGCTTTTCTCTTGGGCAAAAGCGGGTAAGTTCTGACACGATTGTTCACATATAATATTTCAATGGCTTTTTAGTGAAGATTGATTATCTTTGCTTATTTTGAATGTAGAATGTTTGTGTTATAGAGTCATGAGCTTCCTTCTATGGGTCTGGATTTGGGAAAAAAAAAAGTGATAGTTTAAATAATTTTCATTAGAATTATATTTTGAAGTCAAGAAATAAAGAATATTGTATCACTGAGATCACACTCAAAATTAATGTGGATATGCCTAATGTTTTAATGGTGATACTGTACATCACATCAGCTTTAATGGTGGTGTAGTGGAAAGCATGTACTCATTTGTAGTACAGTAAACCCTCACACTACCTGACCTCTTGGATCCTGATTTCGGTTGGTCCGGACTGACGTCTGAATGTGGCAAATTCCTATCCGGTCTCTCTCTGTATGCCATGTTTACTCCCCCGCTGCTAAAATGGACCCACTCTGCATCGTCTGCTGGACCAAACTGTGAGGTATTATGGTCGTTTTTCAACTTGTATTTTCGGGTCGATACATGTATAACTTTCTTCATCTATTTTTACTCGGTTACATGCACACACCATCCTACGTACATATTGTGAAAAAGGTAAAAGAAATAATTGTCCCAAGGGCAAACATGTAGCGGGAGGAGAGCGCAGAGTATAGGGGTTGGAGGAGTATTGCTAGGGAATCGGCGTCCCAGCTGATCTTAGTTACCAAGGTGAAACGGAGTGTATGCAAATGGCGACTATTAAACTTTAATTTGGCAATACAGTATTTTCTGTTAGCATTATTTTGATTTATTCCTCACATTTCCTGGTCCTGTATATATTATTTTAAGGAAACTATAGCTACAGGAGGAAAATACACACTAAAAAATTTTTCTAAATACTTCCTGTCATAAAATACGGTATAAAATATTTTTCAAATTATGTATTTTCGAGTCCTGACGTTAGTGATCGTGCTGTGTACAGTACTGACAAAATTTCCGTTTGTCATTCACTTTAAAATGGCTAGCAAGTGTAAAAGTGAGAGTTCTCGTGGTGCTGAGAAGAAAGAGACACCCATTTTAGATTTTCTATGATTTTTTTCGCATTTTCGACCAATTCAACTTACGACCTGGTCATCGGTCCCTAACCCCGTTGTAAGTCGAGGACTGACTGTATTAACACCAAACTCCTATATAAATGGAGTGTGTGTATGTGATGTCACATTGAGGGAGGGAGGTTTCAGGTATCAGGCAGCTCACTTTTCACCCACCCCCACACACACCAATGTTCTTATTTTTTCTTATTTTATAGTTTTATATTTTATTATTGAAAAGGCCTGGCCTGTAGGAAATAAATCCCTTGCCAGCCTAATCAGGATCTTACCAAAGGAAAGTCAAGAACCATGGGTTTCCAAGGGGTTATAAACAACCGGAAGAGAGGCCCATCTCTACTGAGAAATAATCACAAAAGTTTAACTCTGTCACCACTCCCACAGACATTAAATAAACAGCACTGGAGTCAAACAAAATTACTAAAGTACAGTTATTTCCTACGGTTGTAGATGAATCTTCTTTCTAACCGGCACTGTAGAGTGTTCTGGTAACGCGGTGTTCCGCCCCTCATTAGGGCGAAGTCCGAGTGAAGCAGTGGGGCTCGCCTCCAAAACTCTCAGGGGTAAGGTCCAGGGCAGCTTCCTCACTTGGTGCCGGCGTTGGTGGGCGATGCCTTGCCACACAAGAGAGACGCCAGGGCAGAGACGGTGGATAGGGCATGGAGGAAGTGGTGATAACGTGGCAGCCGTGACAGTAACTGGAGTTGACAGTCAAATAGTGAAGGACCGGGGAATCAGCCCATGAGCCCCAGGAACCTCCGATGAGTACACAGCCAGAGAAGGAATAGAACAGCGGGGTGAAGTAAGAGCTGTGGTGAAGGCGGGGTCGCGTTTGCCCGGCGACGAGGCAGCAGCCGGCAGAGTGGAACCGTGAACGAGCGGCGGACAACCTACCCACTCATTACAGCCCTTACAATTATCTATTTCTAAGCTACATTTGAGTAATTTAATGATTTTTCTTCAACTTTTATACTATTAATGCTCCTGAAATGGGGCTGTGTGTGTGTGTGTGTGTGTGTGTGTGTGTGTGTGTGTGTGTGTGTGTGTGTGTGTGTGTGTGTGTGTGTGTGTGTGTGTGTGTGTGTGTGTGTGTGTGTGTGTGTGTGTGTGTGTGTGTGTGTGTGTGCTTTCCACTCAAACACCCATGCTCTTCATTTGTCTTAGTTTATTGTTTTATATTATATTTTATAGTTTTATTATATATTATATTTATTTCTAACCCACATTAGAGTATTGTAAAGATTTTCCACAACTTTTATAGCATTACTGTTAAATTTTTGTGGGACATTTTGTGGAACATATCCTAATTTTCCCCATAAGATTAAGTAACACGTATTTGTCCCCCGGTTCGTCCGGACACCCTCTCCCCCTTAATTGTCCGGAAGTGCGAGGGTTTACTGTACTATATACTGTGGGTATATATACTTGTATACATTTAACCCTTTCAATGCAATTCCCCCCTCCTCATACAGTAAACAATACCAGTGTGATTGCTACATCATATGTGGTAATAATTTTCCTATCCATACTTTTGAGTTTTATTACTGTACCAGATAGACTCCTCATTTGATAAACTGGCATGACCCATAAATTATTTTCAGGTCTGCCATTGTCTTCTCAATCATGGTCGAAAGTAGATGTGTGTCCAATTGTTCCCACCACGGTGTGAGTGCCCAGAAAATCAAGGAGTGATTGTGGTTTTCTGGTAGTGATGAAGACGTGAATGACCCTGGATATAGTGTGCGTATGTGTATGAAAGAGAGAGAGAGAGCGCACATATGCATGTTAGAAATGCTTGTGTGTATGTATGGGTGCATATTAGAGTATGTATTACTGTGTGTGTGATGAAATGAGACATTATGCTCAAGTGATGCAGACTACCACACCACAGTCTGAGTATTATATATATTTATAGACAATGTTGGAAATACTTCTTTTTTTTTCCAGGTATATGATTGCAAAAATATTGAGTGATGAGCATGAAGAAGCAGCTATTATCAACATTCCTGTCAACCTAACTTCAGTTCCTTTTCATAAATTAAATCAACCTCCATGGATAATTTGGTGATGTTTGGTTATTTAGGTTTATAATAATACCAGAGATTACGAGAGTTGATATTATGTTAGCTTAAAGACATGGGCGTCTGCAGGAAAGCAACAGTAGGCAGTCCCTTCCCCTCAAATATCTAGCAAAAGTATATTAAAAAATTGATATTCATAATATTGTACAAGAAAATGGGAAATGCAGTAATGCAAAAGGAAATTTATGTATTAGATAAAAATTTCATTATTATTTTGGCATTTTCATAATTTTTAGCAATAATGTCTATTTGTCAACATTGTCCTCTCTGAAACATGTTCTATTGATGCCCATGCATAAGGTCCCCCTCCAAGTACAATCGTAGTTATGGCCAGTGATTTTACATAACTAGAAGAAGCAAAACAATGAAAGCCACCATGACAGTTAAACATAACAAAATCTAAAATTTTATAATTTATATTTACATAACTAGGATTGGAATAGGATACAGTAAGTCCTCGATATATGTGAGGGATGCATTCCTGAAAACCTCGCAAAAGTCAAAATCACATATATCAAGTACAGTACTGTACTTAAATTAAATGGGAAAAGTAGGATGAGTTCCATAACCCAAAATGAAAATGTTCCAGACAAATAAACTACCTGCATAAAACAAATCAATATATTAATTGAAAATAACAGATAAAGCAAGTGTACAGTATAGTGTACTTAACAATAAAAGTAGATACATCAACTTGGGTAGACAAGATGATGGAGGTGGTGGTAGGGGTTTTACATAGTGGGTGTTGGAGTGACCTCTGCAGAGTTATCAGGGTTGGAATACATATCAGAGAGTGTGACATCTCGCATAAGGCTGAATTTTGCTCACATTAATTGAATTCCTGGTAGGAGTAGGGTCTACGCATATGAGTGAACTCGTATATGTCAAGGACTTACTGTACTGATAACTCTATAGTCTATACAGTAATATAAATAGCGTTTGGTTACTTTCATCCCCGACTCATTCTAAACCCTGAAAATCATACCTTCAGCTTCATTCCTTAATAAAGGCCCTTCTTAGCTTGGAAATCCCTTCCTATTTGCTCACAAAGTGCCTACTACTGTGGTCAAGTAATTTATAGCCACTTCAGTACAGTTTCATTGTGAAACAAAAAACCAAAGATAATTAGTATATTTATTGAAAATACTTCGTAAAAAAAAAAACAAGTGTGGATTCACATATTTACAATATTGTGAAGTTATAGAAATATGGAATTTAATGGAAAATCTGGTTTGTTTGGAACTACTGTACAATGCAGTGTACAGTATATGTAATAAAAATTATGTCATCTTGAATTTCCAAAAATGTAAATTAGTTGGGTAAGAATATCCATTCATCATTAGTGTGAATTTAAAAAAAATGTGATAGACATTTCTTTAAATACAGGTTGACAATCCCTTATCCGAAATCCTTGGGGCCAGAGGCATTTCGGTTTTTGGAATTTTTCGGTTTTCAGAATGGTTAGTTTTTTTTTTTTTTTTTTATTTTTTTTTTTTTTTTATGTGTGTATTAGCCCACCCGGGCATAGATCACTGACCCACATTGGGGCCTGGGGGTCGAAAATACAATAAAAATTATAATAATAATAATAATTCATAGGTCTAGGTCGTGTTTCTCACTTTTGATCTTTTTTTCATTCTTGTATTTCTTTACTGTACAGTCAACCCTCGCTTTACGCGGTCCCACATTCCGCATTTACGCGGTACCCTGCCAAAACAGGAATGCTCACATTCCGTGGTGCGTGTACCCCTTCACGCGGAGAGCGGCTGGCGAGCCGCGCCATTTTTGGATCCAAACCTCCCGCCATTCGCCATGTTGTGTAAGCGGCGCGAGCATGGTGCGCACAAGGTCGCCCAGTCATCAAAACATTACCGAGTTCTTCACCCGCCACAGCCGGCCCAAGTCAGTGACAATTATAGTGAGGATATGGACTTATATGGACTTTGAGGGGTTTGACAAAGAGGCCCTGCAAGCCTCTGTGGTGGAGAGTGACACAATTGATACAAGTGAGGGCCAATAATCTGCCCTCTGCCTCGGAACCAACCACCCATCCCCGTGTGCCCAGCCATCTTTTCTACTAATGTAAGTGTTAAAAAACCTAATATTATTGATATTTCTCTTAATTATTAATTGTGTGCATACCATCATAAAGTTAAGATAATATTTTTACTACAACATAGTTGTGTGTCGTCAAAAAGTGGAGTTTGGGGGTCGGCCCGGTCTCTATTTCAATTAATCCCATATGTTATGTTGTTCACTTTACGCGTTTCTCACTTTCCTCGGTACCCTGTGGATTGAATTAACCACGTAAAGTGAGGGTTGACTGTATTATTATTATTTTATTACAATATTATTGTTATTTATTATTATTATTAATTTTATTATTATATTTTATTATTATTATTATTGTAATCATTGTTATTTTATTTTGGTGTATTTTTATTAAAATTTTTATTTACTATGAATAATTATTTTTATTATAATTATTATTACTATTACATTTTCGCCCCCCAGGCCCCGATGCAGGTCAGTGATCTGTGCCTGGTTGGGCTAATAATCCCTGTTTAAAAAAAAAAGAAGCCCACAAAAAAACTTTCGGTTTTTAGTTTTTGGAATTTCGGATAAAGGGTTGTCAACCTGTACAACCATCTTCAAATGTACTGTACAGGCATACCTTTTAGAACAGTCTTACAATACTGCTTCATAAAACACAGTTTTTAAGATTTTTTTTCTATAAAATGGAAAATATGAATAAAATCTTTAAAAAAATATATATACTGTACGTATATATTTCAATTTTTTTTTATACATTTAGGTGTATACAGTATAGGATTGTTATTAGTGCTGATAACCAATGAAGCCCTCATACACAGGCCAAATATCAAACTGTCACAAACATATTTCTTTAGGAATCTTGTTATAATGTTCCTTAATAGAGCGGTTTCTTATTATAGTGATCCATTTTACAGGAGTGCATCAAGAACATATAAGAGGTATGCCTGTACAGTACAGCACAGTACCGATATATATATATATATATATATATATATATATATATATATATATATATATATATATATATATATATATATATATATATATATATATATATATATATATATGGATGCTAGTTGTTTCATACATGTGAATCACAGATGTTTTACACACGAGATTACAATTTTGGTGGTTATTTATTTTTAAATGTATTGTTACACATTCAAGATTGGGATGATATCATGTTAACCACTTGGGTACAGGATTCCCCTGAGCTGAATAAAATTGTCTTATTGTTAGCCAAGTAAAATATTAAAAGTTGCATTCCTGTAGTGAAGGGGTTAACATACCAATACAGGGGGTCCCTGAGTTACGAATGTCCGACTTATGAACGAGGTCCCATAAGGTCAGTTATTTTAAGATTCCGACATTAAGACAACTGGTACTTCGTATTAACGTACGCGAACTAGTTTGCATGGCGGAGCGGTGGGTGGGGAGTAATACCTCACCTCAGTAATGTGTATGAATGAGTGCAAACTGTTCTTTTTTGCTTGTTAACTATTTTCCTGCCCTCATCATGGCTTCCAAATGCTAATCTGATGCAAGTGATAGTATTGCATCCAAGAAAAGGAAAACAATGGAAGTGAAAGATGATGTAATTGAATGTTCTAAAAAAGGCAAAACACCCTGTCATTGGTAAATGGTTGGGCTTCATTCTGTACAATTTTGAAAGAAACACAAAATTCTTTAACATGTAATAGGATCTAGACTAATGCACTCAACTGTGATTAAATAAAGAAGTGAATTGTTAATGGAAAGAGAAAGATTGTTAGTGATATGGGTGGAAGACCCCAGGTTTCAATGTGTAACATTAAAAATTACTTTCCTGTATGGTATTGTCATTCAATTTCTTCTTTTGTCAAGTGATTCTAGTTATATAAATGGACTTGGGCTATGATATAGTGCACATTGGTTATGTGTTCTGATTTACTTTTCGACAAGAACGTCCTCAGGAACGGAACTATTTTGTAACCGGGTACCCCCTGTATACCAAAATTTTGAAACTGGCTAGATGGCAACATTGGCCTTAGGTTGACAAGTTATACCTAAGAATACATTTCTTGTATACATCTTAATTAGTATTAATGTGTAAAATGTGGGAAAATAGTGTTGATGAAAAATATGACATTTATCCCTTAAATCACATCGCAAATTATAACTGACTGTAATTGTCCCTGAAATTAAAAAGACTTACAAATTTACTTGTTTAGATTGACTATAGACTTTGATCTTTATATTTTTTTAAGTGTGTTGGACTCCTCTTTATCACTGTTAAAGCCCATCTGCATTATTATTATTATTTTATTTTTTATGAAATTATAAATTCTGGGTCTTGGTTTTGTGCTAAATCAGTAACACTCCTCTAGGATTTTAGACTGCCTACGTCCCCAAAGGACTTGGCCTCGCGTAAAGTTTTCTGATTCCTATCGAACTTCAGTGACCTGGAAGAAAAGTTTAGCTAACCTGTCCTCGTAGGTGGATGACAACACGTATAGATATCACTTGAATAATTAGATTACCCAACTGTTTATCTCGCACAGACACAAACGAACTCCAAATCAACGACATTTGCCATGATATAACATATATCGGTTAACAATAACTTCACTGTTCCCATATAAAGTATATCTATTTCTAATAAAAAAAAAAGGTAGTAGTTGCAACTTCATTATCAGATGCTGGTCAAATATTGAATGTTTCTTTATTCAAATCTTTTTATTGAACTAAACACTTGACAGTTGCAAATTAATGTCTAATATTGATCAATAATGCAAATGTACAGTGAGAAAATGAAGCATCTTCTTGGGGTTTTCATAAATACATTGCAGAATGCTTGAACCATTTGACACACGCATGTGTGGAGCCCATAAACAGTTGACAAGTCTGTGGAACCTTGGAAAGGGGTTGACAGGTACACCATTCATTGTGTTGGGTATTTAAGTTTCATTATACCTTCAGCCAAAGCCAAGCTGATAACTTCTACTTTCACTGTACATCATATCTAAGAAACTGCTCATGGCATCAGAATAAAAATACAGGTTAAACAGATATGCTACCTTCTCTGAACTTAGTTTTACCTATCAAAACATTGACAAGAACTGGGAGACCATCATCATCATGGATCTTCTGTGCCTCTCTCAACTTTTCTGGGATGCTGTCATTACGACCCAACAGAATACCTCGAGCTCCCAGACCTTCCACAGCCTTGTGATAATCACAGTACTGAAAGCAAAAGATGTGTGAATTTTTTTGGTTCACTTTTTACTGTATGCAAGATGTGTTATGGTTGGCTGAAAAAAATGAAAGGAAGAGAGATGCAACAATTATTTGAAAATGTATGCATCTTGTGATTACAGGTCTAAGAAATTAATAGTAAAGACATGAAAGTACTGGAAAATGATCATCCCAGAATCTTCTGAGTACCACTGGTGACACACTTTTGCAAGTTCATCAATATTTACACATTTATTACAGTGACCCTTCATAATCAACCTCAGTCAAATAGCTATATGCTCTTATGTTAACTAGATTCATAATTTCCAACTTATCTGTTCATAATGGCTGAACCTTGGAGTTCACTCCATTCAAACCTACTAATTCTGCATATCCATTTGGAATTTCAATTCCTGACACTTATAAAGTTGTATATCGCTTGCAAGCAATAGGTATCACTCAACTTCTAAAACTCTCTGAAATGGGAGGAATTAATGTACAGTGACCCCTCGTTTAACGAACGCCTCGGTTAACGAACTGCCTTCCATAAGGATCTTCAATTCGGTTAACGAAAAAAAAAATTCGGTTAACGAATTTCTTACGAACCGACCTCAACATGTTTTCGCTTGCACTGACCGGGCAACCAGCTTTAGTATCAGTCCGCCAATACATTAATCGGTTCTAGGGCTTAAATTCCTTACTATTTTAGTAAATATCAAGAAGTTTATACTATTCAATAATTTTAAAAGTTTAATATTAACTTTTTAGTCATTTTAACAATTATTGAACATAATTGAAGGTAAAGAAACTAGTTTCTGGCGTGCCATCCAGCCTGTTAACACACCAGACAGGCGTTAGTCTCTCTCTGTTTTCAGTGGAGGTAACATCTTGCTTGAGACTCTCTTCAACTAAACGCTTTTTTTCTGTGTTTCCAAGCAAATTATTGGTCATTTTGAAATATATTTTACATATTGACAATATATAATGCAGTGCAGTGTTGATTTAAAGAAAATAATCTTGAAATACACCAAGAGAACTAAAATTTTATGGATGAAATGGTGCCATGGGGTGACTTCTCTTCCACCCCAATGCCTTTTCTTCTTCCTTCTCCTCCACCCCCATTCTAATTCCCATCATCATCATCATCATCCAGGAGCCTTCTACATACACACCTCAAAGAAAGTGAACTTTTCTACCATTTTTGTTGAATTTAGGAAATTTTCGGTGAGCTGGAACCAATTACCCAAAAACCCATTGAAACAATGGTTTCGGTTAACGAACGACCTTCTGGAACGGATTGAGTTCGTTAACCGAGGGGTCACTGTATATTTTATCACGTTTACTGATTACCTTGGCTTTTAGTTCCATCTGTTGGTAAACAGACTAATTTTGGTGGTTCAAACTCGAAACCTTGTCGCTTTACTGTCAGTGATAGGGGACTGTACCAAAATTCATCACCGGTTTCAGAACACGAGGCACAGTGAGTGTAACACTAATTTTTTCTTTAACTGACTCCTGCAAGTCATTTGGGTGATAAGAGAATCTTTCTCAAATATCACAGTAACTTAATCTTTCCACTCTACCACTGAGAAACTTTGACAATTATGTCCTTCATTATCCATTTTACTCTTTCCCTCCTTGTTCTAAACTAGCTTACAAAATGTGTTCTATCAATTATGATAAAGTACAAATATAATGTTAGAAAGAATATACAGTAGTACTTACTGCTAAATCACATGCAACGCTAGATCCAAACATGGGGACCTGCTCACGAGCGATCTGTGTCCAACCAGCGTCATTCCCCACTAAAGCAATGACTGGAGTCTTGTGACGTGTGTATGTGTCAAATTCAGATAAGGAATAACCTAAGGACCCATCGCCATATATTATCCAAACCTGAAATGCGAGATAAAATGAAAAAGTTAATACCAGTGAGTGGAGATCTTATAAAAACCATGTAATGAGATAAAAGTTTTATACTGTACAGTATTACAAGACAGACCCAGAATTTTTTTAAGGGGAGGCGACCAAACTGATTGAGTGTCTAGAATAATCTTGCACAGAATATAATTGGTCATGTGTTGCATTAAGTGTGTGTGTGTGTGTGTGCGCGCTAATCAGGTGGTTGAAATGCTTGAAAGCACCTTCCCAAAAATTGTAACATTAGATTCTTTTACAAGACAGTGACCCCCATTTTGGATAATGTAGAACAGAAACTTGGATCTACAATTAACATTAATACATTCCTAAACTTTATCCTGAAAAATTAACATTCGCACAATAATTGTGCAGTACAATAATTAGATGAATACTCTAAACATCCAGAGGTTGTTACTGGTATTTTGTGTGTAGCTGTGTGTGTGTGTATTGTGAATAAGAGTTGAGTTTTGTTTGTGAAATTGCACGAGTTAATGATAGTTTCCAACAAAGAACTGCTTTCTAAATTTAGTAACAATAAAAAAACTGGCCTGGGATTCTGGGCGGCAAAGTTTGGCACCAAGAGCAAATCCTCCACCCACTCCTAAAGTACCAAATGCACCTGGATCCAGCCACATTAAGGGACCACGGGGTCTGCAAAATAACCAGTACGGTAATAATATTCAGAAAATAGCTTGGGTTTACATAACTATTCATGCAAACACCATTAAGAGATGTTTTTGTTTTTCTGTTCAGGTGCTTTAATTGCCAGGACAAATAAACAAAGTATTTACAGGTACTAGATCTAAGTTTCTACAACAGGTAACTTTTAATAATTCAGAGTACAGTACTGTACTAGAAGTAAACAAAATCTCCTTTACCCTGATGTATTTCCCCTGACTACACTCATAAGAGCACATATCATCCACTCTTAACAGCAAATTATCCTTATACAGTGACCCCTCGTTTAACGAACACCTCGGTTAACATAATTTCGATTAACGAACTGCCTTCCATAAGGATCTTCAATTCGGTTAACGAAAAAAAATTCGGTTAACGAAGTTCTTACGAACCGACCTCAACATGTTTTCGCTTGCACTGACCGGGCAACCAGCTTTAGTATCAGTCTGCCAATACATTAATCGGTTCTAGGGCTTAAATTCCTTACTATTTTAGTAAATATCAAGAAGTTTATACTATTCAATAATTTTAAAAGTTTAATATTCAATTTTTTAGTCATTTTAACAATTATTGAACATAATTGAAGGTAAAGTGACTAGTTTAATGCGCGGCATCCAGCCTCTTAACACAGCAAACAGGCGTCTCTCTCTGTTTTCACTGGAGGTAACATCTTGCTTGAGACTCTCTTCAACTAAACGCTTTTTTTCTGTGTTTCCAAGCAAATTATTGGTCATTTTGAAATATATTTTACATATTGACAATATATAATGCAGTGCAGTGTTGATTTAAAGAAAATAATCTTGAATTACACCAAGAGAGCTAAAATTTTATGGGTGAAATGGCCACATGACTTCTCTTCCACCCCAATGCCTTCTTTCTTCCTCTCCTCCACCCCCATTCTAAATCCCATCATCATCATCATCCAGGAGCCTTCTACATACACACCTCAAAGTAAGTGAACTTTTCTACCATTTTTGTTGAATTTAGGAAATTTTCGGTGAGCTGGAACCAATTACCCAAAAACCCATTGAATCAATGGTTTCGGTTAACGAACGACCTTCTGGAACGGATTGAGTTCGTTAACGGAGGGGTCACTGTATTATTTTAATCTTTTTTTTTTCTGTCACTGTTTCTGCTTGCTTCTGGGCATAAAGGCCCCAAAGTATTCATCTAGTTTATGCCTATTCCTTTAAATTATCTATCTACAATGCTGGTCCTTCTAGTTCTTAATAAATTTTTAAGCTTGGTCTCTCTCTATCCCATTAATGTTTCTTCTATAACATATTGATTTCTATGTAGAATTATGAGCACTTCATTTATGTGAATTTCATATAAATGGAGCAATCGAGTCTATCATTTTACCTGTACAGTACCGGTATAAATTTTTTGAGCCCTCCTCCTCTTTTCAAGTCTTTCTCTATAATGTAAAGGTTAAAATTAGGAGCAAACACACACACTCCCTTCACTCACTGTCATCCATACTAGTGTAAAAATGATATATAACAAGACCTCCCAAATTTTCATCAGACATATCACTGCTGATTCAAACATGAACTCCAGTATCACACAACAGTGGCTCCTTTTCTTTTGTATTTTGTGGATTAGTTGGCTTTTGTTCCCCAAACAAACACTGCCATGGAATATATCATCTGACCTAGGAGTATCACTACTACAAATTCATTACATTAACACACTTGCGCACCATGACTCGATATCCTAGTAAATTTTTTGTCTCGTCCAACTGGCACCGACGCCATTCTCATGTCACTAGCAAGAAAACAGAATCGCCAAAAATCGAGTAATTATGATTGATGCGTGAGATTTTAGCAAATCACCTCCTTGAACCATTCACTCTCATGGTAATCCAACATCAATTAGATATATGGTAAACCCCTTAAAGCATAAGGCTTGAGCACTTCAGTAGTCTCCCACCAGTCATGATAAGATGTGCTGCATATATTCCCTTCAATTTCCTCCTGTTGTCCTTCACACACACACACACACTCCTGCCCTCCATTGCAAAATAATACTTGTCTGTAAAATTGTTTGTAAAGTATTTATTAGTTTAAAAAAAAAAATTCTCAATATTTCATTGATTCAAACTTGTAACCTTTGTTTGTGTGAACTGCTGGGGATGGATTTTTTATTCTAAAAATGTTTACAGCCAAACCATACATGCTAGCGAAATTTTAAACCCACCATAACATATTGTATATACCTAGACACTTATACTAACCAAAGGAATAAAAAAAGTAATAGCTAAAATGAAGGTGAAAATTTTTGGAGAAATTCCCAATACTGTTTTCAGTTTTTTAAATTCATCAACCTTACTCTTACTCGTATCAAATTTCTGATTTCACCAGAATAAAACTTCAAATTTTTTTTTAGTCTTATTTGAAAGAGCAACTAATTTTATGGAGAATGTAGTTGGTCTCGTAGAAAAAATTTAAATACTGTAAACCAGAAACCGGTTACTGAAAAATTGATCTGAAGGAAACATACGTACAGTACAGTGTGACTTTTTCGTGCCAGGTTTACAACTAGCCCCATGCATGGGAGGGGATGATGATACAAGTAAGGCTGTGTGTGCAAGTGTTAAATTACTGTACCGTATTCTCAATTTTGACCTCGTTTTCAAACTCCATACTATTCTACAATTACTGTATACATTTTCCTAATTCTGTAGTCCTTGTTTCTTTTTTCTTTTGAAATCTGATTCACAGGTACAGGAAACAACCAATCCTTAGACTTATCGCCTTTTATTGCGCTCCTAATCAACCAACCCAAAACCATAAACTTACCCCAATATCACTGACCTCCAACACTCACTCACTCTCTCCCTTGAATATACATTACACCTACACTCATAACCCCTACATATACTGTAATATATATGACCTACAACCCCTAACACACACACCAAACTCCTCAAACACCCATAAAAAAAAAAGCAAACAAACAAGTAAGCGTGACTACACCCCCAAAAAACAACAAATTGAACAAACAAGTAAAATACAGTATATATCTTAACTACTGACCTTAATATGTAGGCAGCAGTTGCAACAAAATCACCTCCATCAGCCACCAGTATAGCATCAGGTGGCAACAGTTCCTCCAGTTCATTAAATACTTTCATGGGGTTCAAGTGCATCTCTGGTATCTCTTCTGCCATCTGAACATTGTAAAAAAAAAATAATAATAATGAAAATGTAATAAAAACAGAAATTTCATTAATTGTACTTAGTTTCACAAATAGCAAGCCCATTTATATGTACAGTTCAGTAGTTTAAACCAATGAACAATTTAGAAATGCCATCAAGTGATACGATTTTCATCCAAAAGAATACCCCTGGAGATACCCTATATTCTGTGGTAAGAAGATAGTTCCAAAAGGATCAGAAAAATGCTGCATCATTGCTATAGTACTTGCCCAATCAGATCTGTGTTTTAAAAGTATTTTAGCTGGACATTCACTGGGCTGAATTCCTGGTTAGTTCACTCCACTCAAACCCAAACCATGAATTTGAGTCTGACGTTCAAGCCTTTCATCTTTTCCATTAACAAGAGAATCTGCCATAGAAGGAGTTTTGGATTTCAAGTGACTTGACTTCCCATCCACAAAATCAGATTTCAGAGTTTAATCTTTTGTTTTATTTAAAAAGAGTTAATTCACCACTTGACTTGTGATATCCAAAACAACTAGAAAAGGCATGCAGAGTGAGTGATGTTAAAATACAGTAATCATATTATCCCTATGTGTCTTATGGCACGCAATGTGGTGCTGTTTGGCTTGGGACGCGAGCACATCCAGCTCTCTCTCCCTCTGTCTTATTTTCACCCCTTGAACATCTCACAGAACTTTGGTCATCTGCTAACACATTTTACTTGTATTTTATCTGATTTCTACCCTTAACCATGGCCTCTAGGTGTAGTGTTGGTCACTTGGTGCCTGTGAATTCAGTGTAAAAAAACAAAAGAAATTGATGACTATGAGCCCAAAAGTAGAGTTATTAGACTGTCTACCGAGAGGTAACAGAGAATTATCAGTGGGGCACTATTACAGGGTTAACAAGTCACCTGCGATATATATACAGGTACCCCTGATTTACGATCATTCATTTTATGATATGCCGCCTTGACGTTAATTAGGTTTTAACACCCTCTTGTGATTTACATTAGGCAAAATCCACGTTAACGACAGTTATCACGAGGCTAAACTCGCTGATGCAGAATGTAAACACTGGGGAACCACAGCTTTCCTTTTACTTGTAAAACTCAAGATGGCCAGTATGTACTGAAACTGCTTTTCCATCCTCCATACATTTCACCTACCCACACATCGCCTCACGCCCACCATGCGAATTACAATTCAGTGATTTGTCTCAATAATTGGAAATCTCTCAAACCCAGAAATACACTGCACCAATTGTACAGGATAACAAAAAAAATAAATAAAAAATAAAAATTCGAACCGCGGAAACCCATTGTTGGCAAGTAATTCGCATTGAAAGAATATCATTAAAATATTCCAAGCTTCAATAAGACCACTTATTACTCCACCCACCTGCACTAATCCCTTCCCCTCACCTGCTTTTCCCAGATCACTCATCTCCCACACACAATATACTCCTACCCTCTTATTTTTATCTTTATTTTACTATACTGTAAACAGTTAAGGCAAATTTTGTAATTGCTTACATATAACACTTTACAGTACATAACAATCATCTCGGTGAAAAAGTTGTTGACAACCAGACTTGTATCTGATTTTCAACCTAGAGAGTTCGGTTTCATATTTTTTATTGTTGATGCAATAGTGTTTTAATAACTTTGTTATGTAGTTAAAGACCTTAGCTGTTGCAGTGCAGTAATAACATTATAACACTTGATTTTCTTAAACAGTCCAGACAAGTATTGTTGTCTTACCCCCCCACCCAATTGATTCATGTTTTTTGGACTGACATCTGCCCCAATTAGTCTGATTTATTGAGGTTCTACTGCAAAGAAAAATTACAGCAAGTCAATATAGTATGCAGGAGCCTGGCTACTCCCATACCTATCAAGGAAATGATACTTAATAGATGATCATATGAAGAATCTTATATCAAGGAACAGATTTAATGTACCATACAAGCAGATTTAATTGTAGTAGAGCCTTCATTTAGCATTTAGGTTCTTTGTGCTCTTTTAGATGGAAATTTATTCAATACCTTTTTGTTGATAACTTCTTTTCCCTCATCTCTTTCTCTAAGAGAAGAAATCCACTCAACATCACACTGGTGGCCAGTGAGGCCAGCAGCCAGGTCTCGCATGAAGGTTCCAACATCCCCGAGGACAGCAACAGTTGGTTTCCAAAACATGTCAGCATTCTGAAACATAAAAAGTAATGTTCCCTAAAGACATCACTGAATATAACTACTGCACTCAGAGACAAGTTCATCGAAAAAGCCATGTTGTGTCACTGATGTTCTATCAGTATTCTCAAAACGGATCACACGGTGTCCTTTCCTCCACTGTACTTTGAGCAGTGATGAATGTGTTCATATCATGTGTAATTTGTGACCTCAAACACCACTTCCATGGAAATATTTAGAAAATGCTCTTGTATTTTTCATAAGAGAAGTTGTGAAATACTCTACAAAGAAATAAAAATCATATGTACAAATCCAGTGGAAGAAAAAAATGCTGCAGACTCAATTATACACAGGTTGGATATAGACCACACACACACAGTACCAGGTACAGTATTAAATTTTTGAGGACAAATTACATGAAATACAGTAGTGATGATAAATTATTCTCGTAAAATTACTTGTATCCTCCAGGCCATGTTATTTATTATTGTATTCTGCATAATACACAAGAAGCCCTAAATTATGTTTATCCATGGATGAAGGTTGGCAGCTAAGTCAATAATGAAAAGGTGAAGTGATGTGTTCTGCAGCATTGCACAAGTTAGGATTACAATCTTGCCCTTGCTACTATCCATGTTGGCAAGAATCTCCAATAAACACTTATTTGGAAGAGACTATGATGTTCTACCAGCTTCTGGGAGTCTATATAATGGTTGCCCCTCGTGTAATGAGGATCACCAACCCAAGGACCACCTAGGCATGAATTTGTTTAAGGTGTAGAATCTGTCGCCAACACAACAATCACACCCTAAGTTAACGAGTTGCAGGACCCAATGTCAAGGAATAGTCAGAGAAGACCGGACGACTCGCCAACTGCACTGGCTAACCATTACCCCGGAACACAATCCACAAATCGATTAACACCCAAGTTTCCAAATACTGCTGGGTAGACAGAGGCAAATGGCATAAAGAAACTTGCCCATAGTTTCACCCTGCCCGAGGATCAAACCCAGGTCCGTTCACCACTGGGAGTCTACCAACAAGTGGAAAACTCGGATGTACTCATAAGAGTCAAATGCTCAATCTTTGGCAGATATTTTCTCAAAAAAATAAATTCATACAGATGCCATGGTGACGTATGAAATACTGTACACTAACCAAACATATTATACCTAACAGCATCCTCTTAAGTTGTGGGAACACGAATGAGGCAATACCGGTATGTGTAAGGACAATTCTGTAAGTGAAGTAGCATAGGGAAGCTCAGGTCACTATCATTTAATGACCCAGGACAAGTGCAGTAAACAGGGATTAACTGAGATTACTGTATGATGTGCTCTCAAGAACAGCAATGTAATAAGTGGATTTAAAACTTAGTTGTTTTATTCATGGTGAATTCTTAAATTATTATTTAAAAATTATTCTACAACTCTACTGTATGTTTCTTAAAATGCACTTGTTGCACACTAATGCATACTGCTTGGTGGAGATATACAATGAAATGCGCCCTCTACTTCATTGTTGATTGACTGAGTTAAGGTGCTTAATTTGTAACACTTAATGTAATAGTTCATTATTAATTTCATTCTATTTCTTAGGTATTAAACAGGAGTATGCTGCAAATAGTCCACTTTGGGATAAAATAGTTGAAAAAATTGCAGTTCCTGCTGGGAGAGGCAAAACTGTAAACTGTACAGGCATACCCCGATCAACGCATGTAGGGGTTGGAGAAAGTCGTTGGTTAGTGAATCAACGGTTATCGAAGCAATTAATCCCATAAGAATATAACAAATTCCCATGTACCCTTGATATATCTTTATCATGCACACTGTCAAGCAATAACATAAAGCAGACATAAGAAGCAATGTAAAGCATAAATTGAGACTTATTTACTGGTACCTGTGTTAAGGATGGTAGAGACAATCTAAGGTGGCAAGTTCAAGTCTTTACCAATCTTTGCTGGTCCATCACCACTCTTATTATGCCTTATCACATCACATCAAGCTGCCCAGCACAAGAGGATCTATCACAGGCACGTTTAGGAATGATTGCATAACACGGAGTCGGAAATAACCAAAAAAACACCAAGTCAGAGACGCAAGGTAAGTGTAAACAAGAGCGAAGAGGAGGGAGGCAGTGTGCAGAACCCTCTCATGGCAAAAATTTGCACCACGCCACCGCCCGCCAAATTCTAAACAGCTCTGCCGTTCCTCTCCTGATCATCTATCACCTGGGTATCAACGAAACTTGAGGGGTATTTACCGTATATGTAATTGTCGATTACTAGGGAGTCGGTTTTCGGGGTATACCTGTAATTTATATTTGAAGTTAAAGGAATTATGATGGTGATTATCAAAATTCTATTGGAGTTCCATCCACCTAATGCCTGGCACACTGCCAAAGTTAATGAAAATTTTGTAAGGTACAGTCATGGTGAATTAATAAACTGTAAGTTGTTTCTAACATTTAAATACTTTACAATGTCAGAATACCATCAGATAAGTAAACTGAGTAACTTCAGTACAGTACTAAACTTAAGCAGTAATTAAAACAACAAACATGAAATTATGATTTAATTAAAAGAAAATGAAGAGTCACCCATGAGAAAAAACAAGACAATAGACAGACAGAAAGTAACACTAAGTAATCTGTCTTGAGTAATTAGTCAAGGATAAACTATTAAATGTTAAATTTAAAGTACCTTGTATAGCTGCTCCTTGTTCCTATTGACAGCAATAATCTTAGCCTTTCGCCCCATTCCTCGACCATAAGAGAGTCTGAAGTCACAAACGGCTCCGGCCAGGATGATAAGGTCCGCTTCCTTTAAGGCATCACGACGGCGTTGACGCATCTGAATAGTACTTTTTGGTCCTGTGGATGTGATCATTGTAAAAACTGCACCTACGGGTGTTTACTATAAAATGGGCTGTGTACAATATCTCAGAGTACTAAACTGTTTTCAATAATGATAGGTAAATTAAGTTTGGTATGGTGGCAAGTAAACTGGTAAGAAGTTGAATTTATCACCAGAAGTTGCATTTGGGTTTTTTCATGCATATGGTGGCTAAGTGTGTGGAACTCAAAACTCAAAGTTCTTATGGAGAGACAGATTTAAGCCGGAGTTGATGTGGCCTTGGCTCAAATCATCAAGTCAATGTTCAAGTTTTTCATGTACAAGATTTACAATGCTGTAGCAATGACATATCATACAGATGGACTCACAAATAAAAAGTAAACATTAAATGCCCTCCTGCTAATAATGGCAAAAACATAAAATTAATTACTATAGTGAACTTCCCATACTAATACTTAGACAAGTTATGATATGTTTAGAAACTTCAGCAGTTTCCTATGTTCTTATACATTATCTTACAGTGAAATAGTTATCATTCATCAAACACAACCTGGAAGATCATCTCATTTATACTCACCAAGCAGTCCACGAGACATGCCCCCAAGGAAACAAGGGATGCCCAGGGTCTCCAGTGACCGACGCAGATCCTCCACTGGAGTTGGCGGAAGGGTTGCTTGACTACCAACAAGAATCACAGGTTTTTTTGACCTGGACACCAGCTCCACACACTGGTTCACTGTGAAGAGTAAAATGAGTTACATAAGGTTAAAATTCAAAATATAAAAAGAAAACAAATGACAAAATCAAATCAGATTTAGGGAACTTGAAAACAGGGGAAGGGATAGATTATGAAATTGAAAACAAAAATAGATTTTCTGTATTGCTGGAGGACAACAATTTAATAATTACAAAGAAGTAATGCAAGAGAGCGGAGGAAAAACCTTAGGAAGAATGAGGCTTAAAGTGAGTGGATGACAATTGAAATTTTAAAGAAAATTAATAGACAAAGAAATATGAGTAAACGAAGTAAGGCTTACAAAAAATTAAAGAAAATATAAAGGAATGTAGACAGGCCAAGGAAGTTGATATAAAAGGGAAATGTAAGGAGTTAGATGATGACAAGACAAGCCTCATCGTCTACATCAGGTGGAATAAGTATTAGAAAGACCGTTTTGGAAGATTGGTAAAAACAGCTCATAAAGGTTTAGTGTGAAGGACTGCGGTCGCTAACCCTTTGATATGAGGACGGTAATCTGAGTGATTGATGATATGTCCACTGATTCAAGAGATGTTCAGAATTTAATTAAAATTATAAAAGAGTTAATAAATGACTGCAGTATACACACCAATATCAACGGAGGCAAAAGGAATGCTGATTTTGAGGGGCTTGGTGTCCTGAGGTTCCCATGCTCCAGCAAACAGATTGTTAAGGTAATTGTCAAGGTACCTACAAGGAAAAACTCTCATTATTATCCAAAAATTATGTGTAATATTCTTCAATGATATTCAGAGAAATTCTGATATGTAGCAACAATTACTTGTCAAAATGTTGTAAAAAAAAAAACATTACCAAGTTAACAATACATTATAGTGTATTCTTGACTCATGAATGACAAGGGAAATTTCCTATTTAAGGCTTCTTATATCTGAACAAATTTCTCTGGCCACAGCCAAACTATTGTCACAAACTGTTGTCTTCAATACATTTTACATAATGCAGGAGAGATTCCATGGTGAAAGTGGGTCCCATAGGCATGATTACCCATTAGGAACAGTGTGGATACAGCACACTGTATACTGTACTAAGCCTTCAGTACACAAAGAGGCAGCATGGCCAGTACTGTACTCAACCGCATTTACTATGTGAAGTTGTAAACATATGTACCAATCTACAGCTGGGTGAACTGGGAGTGCCCGGGGATTAAACCACCAACCCACGAAATAGGAAGCACATGCTGTATCCACTCAACCACCACATGCCATACAGCATGGTAATCCCTTGATAAACAGTGGCCATATAGACACCAATCCAACTGAGTATCAGACTCCAATTCTCACCCCAAATTTGACACACAAAAATTGACCTGACAAGCCATTAGTTAAACCAAATATAACAAGAGGAAATGAGGGATCTTATAAGTGAGTCATAGGGTAGACCATATGAAAACAAAAGGTTCTAATAGTCAACAATCACAAAAATGCATTCTTGAAGAGGCATGGCAGAAATATTGTGAAGATATCTACTGAGGGGTTTGGAGGGACACAGCATGAGTGTGTGGGTGGTGGAGATGTATGATAGTTGTATGGAAATGTAAAAATTTTTAATCAATTTTATCCTGTGTTTTCTTAACACTTAGGAAATCTTCTATCCCTGATGCACTGATACCATTTATTTAAACCCTTTAGCAACAATGACTTTTATAACTTACCAGTTAATGATTTTTTGTGTGAAAGACTTGCTATCTGATTTCATGCCCATCTCTTTCGACACCATAGCATATGGATACAGAACGTCAATTGGGAACTCAATGAAGACTGGACCTGAATATAAATTTTACTTGTGTTCAAATACATTATTTAATGCATCTGTAGTTACAAAATGAAATACAAGTACAGTACAGTATATATGAGAATACTGTAAATCAATGGAGATAAAATTGTGCAGTATAAGGCCCTATGAAAATCATCCATTCATATACAGTACTGTACAGGCACTATATATTTGCTGAGACGTATGTACTGTTAATATATGGATATAAAAAATAACTCCCTACCCACTCCTTGACTCCAAGCTAGAGAAGGAACCTGAATTGGATTTGGGCAAAATTGAATAAGTTAAGGGAACTGCTGGCCTGTCACTACCATGGTGAAGTACAGTACTGCTGGCCTGGTACTACCACAGTGAACTACAGTACTACAGACCTGGCATTACCATGGTGAAGTACAGTACTGCTGATTCCTTCAGATTCAACGATGACTAACAGGCACAGGCTACAGTAATTCCCATCTTGGTAATGCCCCACTGGTTCAAACATTCCTATTAATTCTAAAGAAACTCTAAAATTTAGCTTCTTTATCACCAGCGACCCAACACAGCTTATAAATGACCCCACCCATAATCTCAATTGTCCTGGAGATAGTAAAGTGCACCTAATCTCTATTTAAGAATTTACCGTACCCTTATATCAACTATTTCCAAGATTTTTTTTTACTGTTTATATAGACAATCTGTTGCTTATTGTGTACTTTCAAATGATCCTAATTCAAATCCTGTGTTATGTGGCATTCAACAGAGTAATTCAGCTACATTATGAACATGGCTGAGGAACAAATCCATCAATGAAAGGCAACACCATCATCATAAAAACTGTCTAATGGCCATTTTCCATATACAATTTGTGCTTATCTAATACTGTAATTTGAATAAAGGTACAGTACTGTGTTTTATTAGCTAACCTGGTGTGCCAGACTGTGCTGCTTGCAAGGCCTCACGGACAACTGCTACTATATCTCGTACACTTGTGACTGTAGCACAGTACTTGCATAGGGGCTTGAAGAGAGACATCTGGTCTATGTCTTGAAGAGCTCCACGGCCTTTCAAAATTGTGGCTGCTGCCCCACCTATAGAAAAACATGAAATAAACATGTAATAAGAGTGACTTGCAATTACAGAAGTAAAATAGATATCACAATTTATATCCAGTAAATTATAGGAAACAAAAGGATCATCAGATATAGAATTAAACATTTTATACTAACCTATAAGCAACACAGGACTTTCTGCCATCTGAGCATTTTTAACAGCTGTAATAGTATTAGTAAGCCCAGGCCCGGCTGTCACTGCTGCTACTCCCACTGTCCCCGACATGCGAGCCACAGCATCAGCAGCAAACACCGTTGATGCCTGTAATATGTCCAATAAATATAGTAGACAAATACAGGAAGTAAATATTTATAAGCTGATAAAGAAAGAATACCAGTAAGGCAAATAGAAGCTAAAGGGACAAGCTCAAATTAACTTTCAGCAAACATTTCAATCCCTTACTGCTGCTCTCTATATGATATAAAGATAAATACAGTACAGTAAAAGAGAGGTGTACTGTAACAGCTTTACCTCGTGTCGTGTGTCAACTATGCGAATTCCAAGTTTTTCCGCAGCAACAAGAATGGGTGAAATGTGTCCCCCTGGTAGTGTGAAGATGTGCTGTATACCATGAGAATGTAGAACCTCTGCCACCAGTTCACCTCCATGATGCTTGCTCTTCTTATTTACCTGAAATTGATAAAGTAATTTCTTAGATATTTAAGAAATACTGTACTGTACTAAGTATAATTACTAATGCAGTACTGTATTGGAGTTCAACAGAATAAAACCTGACTAATATGCCATAAAATGAATGAGTAGACATTTCCTTTGTGATTTGTTGAATGTACTAAATAGTAAACAAATACCCAGAAAGTGTCAAATGTTTAAACTACAGGGAGTTCCCCTTTGATGGAACCTCCCCTTCACAAAATTCTCCAGTAAGATGGAACATTATATTGAATCTCGGAATTTTTTTGTGCTAAAATTCTCTCTTTTCTGGTTACTGGAAAAGGTTTCTGAGTTGACCCATTTATTCCTTCCTTATATTTACTGGAATTCACTCACCCATCATTTTAACTGTATTTCAAGAAGTGGCACGAGCAGGTACAGTACAGTACTACAGGAAACACGTACAGTTGCCTGCACTCTACTTGGTACAGTGGCTGGCGCATTTTGGGAGATGGGGAAACTCTGTGTTTGTTGACATTGTATTAAAACTCCAAGAATGGCCCTAAGGTACCCCACAATAATAGCCAGACTTAGGATGCTAGATAAACTTTCCACGGTACTGCCACATCTCACAAAATGCACCAGCCACTGTACAGGTACCAGGTAAAAGTGTTGGTGACTGTACCTGTACTAATATATCGGTCTGAACTACTGTATACAAAAGGCTTAAGCATGTCAGGTAAATAGGTTCTGATTCTTCAAGTCCACTGTGCTTACATTAATGGACCTCTGGCTTTGTGGTGTTTCAGACACAGTATACTGTAGTGTGTTTTTAATGAAAGACTGATGAAGTTTTAATAAAAATGTGTATACAAATATTTTAGGGTGGGTGGGAGATGTCGTGGGAGGGTGAAAGATGTTGTGGGACGGTGGGAGATGTTGTGGGAGGGTGGGAGATGTTGTGAGAGGGTGAAAGATGTTGTGGGAGGGTGGGAGATGTTGTGAGAGGGCGGGAGATGCTGTGGGAGGGCAGGAGATGCTGTGGGAGGGTGGGAGATGTTGTGGGAGGTGGGAGATGTTGTGAGAGGGTGAAAGATGTTGTGGGACGGTGGGAGATGTTGTGGGAGGGTGGGAGATGTTGTGGGAGGGCGGGAGATGCTGTGGGAGGGCGGGAGATGCTGTGGGAGGGTGGGAGATGCTGTGGGAGGGCGGAGATGTTGTGGCAGGGCGGAGATGTTGTGGGAGGGCGGGCAGGGAATGTTGTGGGAGGGCAGGAGAAGTTGTGGGAGGGCGGGGGATGTTGTGGGAGGGCGGGGGATGTTGTGGGAGGGCAGGGGATGTTGTGGGAGGGCAGGAGATGTTGTGGGAGGGCGGGAGATGCCGTGGTAGTGTAAGAGAAGTAGCCAGAAAACTTTATGTGGAGGAAGATGTTTTTGTTAGATGGTCACAGAAATATGCACTTGAAAGGCAGCTATATAAACCTGTCCCAACAGAGACAAAAATAAAACTTAACTGTGTTTCTCCATTGTGCATTAAAAAACAATGGGAGAACCATTTGTACGTAAGTATTAATTGATAAAGGCATATAGTACAGTACTGGACACAAAAAAATTAAACAGTACCAAGATCTAGAAAACTGTAATAAACAATAGTAAGCAGTAAAATGAGGTTGCATCTAATTTTTTATGGCATAGGTAATACCACTCAACATGGAGCCCCTCCATAGCTGCTACAAATCTTCGGAAATTATACAAATGCACTGATGGCTATCACCCTTAAAAGACTTGAGCTGCACTACAGTAAACCTCCATTTAACGGATTATATGGAGAGTGAAGTCCGTTATATGGCGGGCTTCACTGTACATTTGCTATCATTCCTGAACTGTGCGTAAGAATCTAGGTTTAACATAAAACTAACCTTGTGTCGCCATATGTATGGAAGGTGGAACTTCGATAAGATGGTACCAATACCCAAACCAATGAGCAACGTAGAACCAAACAGAGTGAGTAATATCATTAGCTGGTCGTCCATCTTGGTCTGAGAAGCTCACCTCTGAAGGGCTTCACTTATTCTGCGAAAGCCAAAATTTGATAAAATACACAATATTTAAACATTTTCATTAAATACTAATAAATATTTTAATTCAACACTTAGAATGAATAATGGCAAAGGTTAAATACACCTCTGACCTTATTTTTTGTGTTTTGTTAGGATCTTTACCAGATATCTGTTGTCATGCATAGAATGTAAATCTGGTGAGGAGAGAAATGAAAAAGCTACGTTGAAAATAACGTTTTAGGCTACCGTGAGACCTGACCAATGGGAACAATAGAACAGTGGTTAAGTAAGGATTTGGTTAGTTCTATGCAGTCTTTTAACCAACTGCAGACATGATACAGAAGTTTAACACTTATAACTAATGTACTGTATGCTAAACCTTTTCTGCTCACAACCTTACAAAATTAGTTCAGCTCACACTCCTCTCACACAATATCCCTGGTGCATTTTGGATTTTCAGATTATAATAATTTGCAAGAAAAATGTGTAAATAATCCTTGGTAATAACATTTGATTCCTCTCATAATATAAATACAGTACTGTAAATGTAAAAAGTACAATTCTGAATTACCAAGGAAACATGCAATTTGTTAGTTCTTGTCATCTCAGAGGAAGTTTCCTTTCCCAAAGTTTTTCACTAGTTTCTAGGTAAATGTTAAAGAGGGTTGCCACAGCCCCCCTAAGATTCTCCGGATGACCGAAACTAAAAATAATAGTTTACCGTCCGACCCGGTTCAATATCCACCTCCAGAATATAAAAGCAAAACCTAAACACAATACTGGGTACTGACATTTAACAAATACTGTACAGAAATACAATACCTTTAAATTCACGCTGAGTGTTCACCAACCAGTTTGATATCAGAATGCCGATGAAGTTAAAGGCAAGGGCCGGTGCCTACACTCAAGGAAGATCTATTCTTACAGTGTTAGATAAGGTATTAATCACTGATACAACAGTGGTCTACACCGCACCAAGGTCCAAAGTCCTCTCCCCTGGACTGGAGAAACTGGTCAGTGGTCACCGGTGTCACTCACAGTGCCAAGGAATATAGAAAAGAAATTGCAGCCTTCTACGGTAAAATTTTATTCAACAAGGCTTATAATTCTGTTGAACGTTGTTTTTTAATAAATACAGATAGGATGAGTGTGAAAAATATAATTATTAGCATCGGATTAATATTTGTTTTTAATTAATTTAACCACATCAGTTTACTAGCCATAATTATCAAGCAACTCTTATTGAAGAAAATGAACTGAAGTTTCCAATAAGCAGTAAATTTACGTAGAAACACTCTTTACTGTATAATTAAGAAGAATTAGGTATAATAAAAACGTAGGATAAAACTACTAAAATGCAAGGAGTGTCTAACAGAGGTGTCAAGGGTTCCAGTCTTTCATGGTCCGGACCCACACAAAAGAAAGATGTTATTACTATTATACCAAATATCACATGTATCTTGGTCCCCTGTTTCCATATGAACGGCTGAACGACTAGTGAAATAATAAGTGGTGAAAATTAAAAAAAAAAGTCAAATTGATTTAGGCAGATGGTTGGTAGGTTGGTTGCTAGGGACGCTGCGGTGTGGTGGAGTGAATGTTATAACTTGGTTCTCTTGTGACTGTCAGTTGGGCACATACAGGTAAATAGTAACCAAACTGTTCTTTGGTAAGCTCACGGGGTTTGATCTAACTACCTCTTATGGTCAAACTTCTTAATTTGGAGAAAGATTTTGTTGTCATGTTTTTAAATGAATACACACAGGCAGTGCTCTCCGATACAAGAGCTTTAGGCTTTACATGTGAGATGAATTGTTTCATTAACACAAATACTTGCAAAGAGGAATGACTTACCTCCTACTGCTGCATAAAATTATTTGGTAAATGTTACTTTTAGTCCTATAATCTTCTAGCGACTCAAAAATATATTTCTCCTGTGTATTTTGCTGTGTTTTGAATAAACTTGACATGCACAAATCAACAGCTATATGGCAAATGAATTTCTGAAGATGACAGCTGGTCACCCGATAATTATTTTTATCCTTTTCACCACTGAGCGGCTCGTTAGTCGCTTGGGTGGAATGTCAAGGTTAATTTCCTAACCAAAACTTTCGACGCCATATCTTATTTATTATGCATTTGCGACGGAAATATCATAGAAGAAAATTGTCTCGGAGTTTTCTGTAGATTTCACATATGTTGTCAGATGTATCATAAAGAATTATAGGACTAAAGTTAACAAATATCTTTAATCTAACCTAACCTAACCTCATCTGACCTCACCTGACCTAACCTCACCTCACCTCACCTAATAATCTAAATACTGTATCATGTAGACCTCATGCTATAGTAGTCCAGTACCGTATACCATAAAATGTAACGAATGTAACAATAATATTATAAAACATATTTCTCCCATTTTGTGAGATTTTCACAAGGAGAGAAAACCTGTATCTTCTGTAGAAAAATGTGCTCAAGTTGCTGGTTAATGTGCACAACTGTCTCTAGTATTACCCTATATTTTACACTAGGTGCTGCTCAAAACTGATTTTTGTTATACATACTGTAAAACCCAACATCATGATGCACCATAGAAAGCTATAACTCAATGACCTGCACCCCATGTGTAGGCTCTTGAATGAACTTGAACATATGCCAGTATTGATCAAGTCTGGTTTTAAAGGAACTCACACTCGGTGCTTCCACAACATTTACTGGTAGGTTATTCCAAGAGTTCCCAAATTTGAACTCCAAAAAAGTTAGCTTTGACAGTTTTCTTTTCTTGTGGCTACATAAATTTACAATAATTTGTGATGATAAGTGAACAGGATATCAAGAATATTTTAATAAACAACGCTTATAACTCCCATAACATTCCAAGACAATTAGAGTCTATTCCGATGACTCCTTTAGAGGGCAGTGGCACATTTTGCTGAGGGACCCCTGCCCTCTAAAGAGTTAAGGATCACCATCAGTTTTTCTCTCTAAAGTTAACCATTATTGTTCCAGAGGGATAGTTACTCTCCAGTGGCTCTCCAGTATACATAAGGATGAAGTTCCCTTTCATCTAATGCCAAGGTGTTTTTTTATGCCTTACTGACCTCTCAAGCAGTGACATAAAAGCTTATGTACCTGTATACACTACTCTCCCCAGCTTCTTAATTTTTTTTTTTTTATACTTAAAAGATTTCCCATTTTAATTGTTTTTGTTTAAATATTGTACTGTAGTCATATACTGTACAGTAGCTACAGTACTATACAGTAGTACAGTATAATGCATGTATATATTTTTTAGACCAGTGCTCTAAATGTTTTCTTCTAATTATGCAAATTCAGGAGACTAACTTTCTATATCACTTTGATGTGGTACATGATAAGATGTTTTACTTTCTCTTTGGCAGAGAGTGAGTGAAAATGAGGGTGGAGAAGCCAGTTATGAGGTATTTGCCTGCTGACTGGCACCGCAACAATGATGCACTCCGCCAGGCCTCTCATGACACCCGTACCACTTCCCACAATTTCCGCCACCAGTCACACCACCTTCGGGACCAGGTACAGTGACACAGTGTTATGAATTACCACAAAATGTGCATCAATTGAGGTGACAACTATGATTAGTTACAGTACTTTACTTTTATCCTCTTCACCACTGATTGGCTCTTTAGCCGCTTGGGCGATCGGTCAGGTCTCTGTTACGCACCGTTGGCAAGTACTGGGCATGCAGCCAACAAACTCAATACTCTTGTTCTTTCACAAACTTTTGTTTTACAAATCACCACTATTAGAAGATGTACCAAGTGAGATAATTACAAAACTATAGTTTCCTTTTTTTATCCACTTCATCCCTGGTTATGTTACTAGCTAGCCAGATGGTTGATCTGTTCTATGTTATGTGCTCTTGTCAAGTACTTTAATTAAAATACTGCAATGATTTTATATGTGTTTCAACATTGGACACATGTGGATGTAAAGGAAACAAGTTTTTTCTAAAAAAAAAATTCAAACCCAAATATTAGCCACATGTCTCTTATAAACTATTACTCTCAAAAATGCATAATAAAATATAATTCAGGAAGTGATATAATAAACTGTGTTGACAGACAAGGAACAAAACATGCTGGGATTGTGAGGACAATACTACTCGTCTCCACGACCGTGTGTATGAGCTACAGCGAGTCACTGATGATCTGCAGCGATCCCTCAAACAGGTCAGCATATGGTACTGTACATGCATTTACAGTTATAACATTTAGTTCTAGATATTGTACAAGAAAAGTAATGAAGTTTTATTCCATAATTTTAGTACAGTTCCATGCTTCCTTACATCTGCAACTGCAGTGAAAACTAACCTAAGAAAATATGAAAATCCGGTTTTAGGTGAACGATGAGATTTCCAAACTGGAGAATGCCAAGGAGACAGCTGAAGCTGAGCTGGAGGCACATGTGTATCCCCTCAACACTGCCCTCGAGTGTCTCACAATACGAGAACGACGCAGGGAAGGTGACCTGGTCAAGGATGATCCTGAGGTACTGTGAATTTTAGAGTAGCCATTGCTGCTATGTGTGACATGTGTTTCAGTTGTAGACAGGGGATAACATTATAATATTGAAATATTAGCATTTTGGAGCAAAAGACCAAATTCCATTGCTAGTTATTGACATTGCAACCTTTATGGCATTCAAATATCTTAACATTAACTCCTTCATATGGCAGACAATAAGATTATCATTATGAAAAAGGGACAATAACATACTGGAGGAGACCCAACCTAACTTAATCTAGCTGACCAAACCTTATCATCACCACCACCACCACCATTCACAGCTATTTTCCTTGCTTGCTTGGGTTAGCTGTGATTACTTGATGGCATGGCATCCAAATTGCCATCAGGCAGATTTGAAGCAAGTTTTATGGCAGTTTGCCCTCCTAACTTTACAGAATTAAAACTGAACATTATTTGTAGGATTTCCAGGCACCCTTTTAGCTGGCATGGCAGGGTTGCAACTTCTTAAAATAATTAAAGAACACCCATTTACCTTTCAAACTTCTGATCGTCTAAATTAACCTTAAATAATGCACAGTTGTTGCCACTTACAAGCTACACAGACTGGTGGCTTCGAAATTCCTAACTTCCCTTCAAGACTTTGGTAAACTTTTATCTATGTATGACAGATCCAGCTACAGCAGGAGGTGAGGCTATTGGAGAAGTCACGGGCCAACTTGGAGAAGGTGGTGCTGGAGGCTGTCTCTCACCTCAGGGTTCTACATGATGCCAAACAACGACTTCAAGATGACCTCAAAGATAAGGTAGAAAAGTTGTACAGTGATTCTTATTGATAATAGGTTTAAGGTAGGTAATGGTAGGCTTAGTCAGTCTAGGAGATCTGTATTAAATTCTTGTTGATGGAAGGTCAAGTTAATGCTTGGTTAGGTTTGTTTGTGCTCATTATTCTGAACTGTGTTTTTGTTTTATGTTGTCCTGAATTATGGGTTATATTACTCTTCCATAGTTTATGTTGCTGATGATATATACTTACCTTCTCATGATGGTGTTATAAGCAGTTATATATTGTAAATTTATAAGCAAGGACAGTTTCATAATCACTGTGAAACCTGCAAACATCTTTACAGGGTATATATTTAGGGTTATTCTGTTCTTGTACATAGGCACCTCGTAGTTAATATTATGTTATGCTATGATATGACCATAGTCTTGGGTGAGACAACCACCAACTCAACCACACTATTGACTAATAACTATGCACAGAACAGTACTAGCTTCTGCCCCCACACAGCTACCAACTCTACCACCGCCATCAACAATAACCACCTACCAGCTCTTACCTTCTAACTGCCATCAACAACAAAATTTTTCCATTTTCTACTCACACAATGATTTCTTCTACCAATACCTTCAGTAATAACACCTATCAGCATAACCTCCAGTAGTCAGCAATACCACTAACTTCATTAACTACCATCTTCCAGCTCATGGCCAGAGTAGTTTCAAATATAGTTTGCAGTTCTGTATTTCATATTGATGTTTTTCCCAAGCTCTACATTATAATGTTGATGCCTCTAATGAAGACATAATCATTTTGCAGAGAGCTGCACTACAGGTTGACGGAACACAGACAGCCCTCACCGTGTACTCCCCACAGATATCCTTCAAGCCTGACCCCTTACGAGTCCCTAAAGGTCAGTGAGGCAGGGTCAGTACTTAGGCCAACAAGGTCTTATAAACTCTGGTGGTCCATCATTCAAGAATGCTTCAAATTCTCACGAATCAGAAAGATAAACATTTATCTATAACTGGGAATAATAGATTGAGTCAAGATTTAGAGTTTCCATGCAGTTTTAACACAATTTTGGGCATCCAACTGGTTCATCAATGAACCAGTTGGATGCATTTTCTTAACTCCAGTTTTGGGAAAATTTTATATACGGTACAGTACCGTAAAATCTTTTGAGAATTCAGCCCCAAGACAGTGACTTTAACATATAGTACTGGGTGATTACAAATGGTTGTGAAAAAGAAAGTAACAAAGCTACATTGAAGAACAAAATATACTGATGAAGAGGACCTCAAAAAGTTTTATTTACAAGCTATAGAATTTCAATATGAGCTACTTTTGTGGCTCTGCAAACATCAATACTGCACTGTATTCTGATGCCCTCTATACATTTTGTAGCATATCATAGTGAAATTTTCAAACAGCCTCACCTATCCTTTCCTTCAAATTTGCCACAGTTGCTGGCTTTGGTGGAACAAGAACTTCATTTTTGACATACAGTAGCTCCATTTTAAAAAGTCAAAGGGGCTTAGATTGGGTGAAAGACCTGGCTAAGTAATGAACCCCCACACCCGATTCAACAGTCAGTCAATTACGCCATATTAAACTTCTACCTTCCTTCTGATTGTAGCTTTGTTAGTTTTTCAGAATGTTTAAAATTAGGAAGATTATTTGTAATTCCCCAATCACTATGATTGCCTGTAAGTGACCCTACTGTATTATGCTGGAGAGAATAAGTAGAGAAAGACTTTCAACTATGTACTGTACAGTGCAGTACTGTACTGTGTTTAAGAGATCATCAAATAAAACATTAACGTCAAGTGCATCACTGGTGTAGGGACCATCCTGCCTGCTGATTGGCTGGACCACTCACTGAAGAACATGGCAGTGACAGAGGCAGCCATCCGGGACTCCCAGACCCTGCGAGACAATATGTGTGTTACTATACAGGTACAGTAAATCTCTACGAATCTAATTGATCTTTACCATTAATTTACTTTTTCTTCACCACTTGTCAGCTTACTAGTTAGTTGGACTATTTTATGTTACACACTGTTGGAAAGTGCTCGACATATAAGGGGTCTTCAATGTAGCTGAACATGTTCCAGTGTTGGTGAAGTCAGGATTTAAATGAGGTCACACACTAAAGAAGTTAGCCCTAACAGTTTCTATACTGAGAGCTTCTTTACCATGAGGCTGTGACCTTGAATGTGGTGGCCATCCACAAACTTCAGATGTGTATTCTTTAGGCACTAAATCTAATTTCACAGTTATTCCATGGAGTTGTCACTTTTCCACCAGCTAACACAGCTGCCTATTCCTGCAGCAATCAGGTACAGTACTGTAATGTACTGTATGTGTACACAAATGAGCTGTGTAAATTGTTTATTTCTTTTGCATTTACTGTACAGTACACAATTTATTTATTTGGTATCTTACAAATTATTCTTTTTGACATTAATTCAATAATTCAGAACAGTACAAATGTCAGTATGTATGTAACTTGCCTATAGTTAAGATGCAGGCACACACAAGCAGTGTCATGAGAGTGGGAGCACAACCCTTGGTAGCAGCAACTTGAATATGTACAGTATTCCAAAATATTGTGAGGATTGTTGAATACAGTATAGTCATGAGGACCAAAAGTTTTTCTAAGGCCGTAGAGTAAAGTTGAATTCATGTATAGTACTGTACTGTACTCATGGACAAGAATATTTAGTGACACTAATGTTGCATTAAGTATCCAAAGGATTAAGTTAGTGTTTTGCAAGCTGTGGGTCACAGTAAAACAGGAACAGTGTACTGTACTGTACAGTGGTCCCTCGGTTAACGAGCACAATCCGTTCCAGCAGGTTGCTCGTTAACCAAAAAACTCGTTAACCGAAACCATTGTTTCAATGGGTTTTTGGGTAATTGGTTCCAGCTCGCCGAAAATTGCCTAAATTCAACAAAAAAGGCAGAAAAGTACACTTACTTTGAGGTGTATATAGAAGGCTCCTGGATGATGATGATGATGATGGGAATTATAATGGGGGTGGAGGAGAAGGAAGAAGAGAAGGCATTGGGGTGGAAGATAAGTCACCCCATGGTGCTATTTCACCCATAAAATTTTAGTTCTCTTGGTGTAATTCAAGATTATTTTCTTTAAATCAACACTGCACTGCATTACATATTGTCAATATGTAAAATAAATTTCAAAATGACCAATAGTTTGCTTGGAAACACAGAAAAAAAGCGTTTAGTTGAAGAGAGTCTCAAGCAATATGTTACCTCCACTGAAAGAAGAGAGAGACTAACGCCTGTTTGTGTGTTAACAGGCTGGATGGCGCTCCAGAAACTAGTTTCCTTACCTTCAGTTATGTTCAATAATTGTTAAAATGACTAAAAAAATTTAATATTAAACTTTTAAAATTATTGAATAGTATAAACTTCTTGATATTTACTAAAATAGTAAGGAATTTAAGCCCTAAAACCGATTACTGTATTGGCGGACTAATACTACAGCTGGTGGACCGCCAAATGCAAGCGAAAACATGTTGAGGTCAGCTTGTAAAAAACTCGTTAATCGAGGGATTGCTCGTTAACCGAAGTTAAGAATCTTATGGAAGGTAAATCGTTAACTGAGGCGCTCGTTAACTGAGGGATCACTGTATACTGTATCATGGTACTGTATCTATTTTCTCTCAAAAGAATTATCTAGGCTCTAGACACACAAATAAATATTCTAAGTGAGTTACACCCATTTGGAATTCTGACACTACTGTACTGTACTGTAATTATTATTATTTTTGTTTTGTTTTGCAAGATTATGAATTTTCAACCTTGTTTAAAGGCACGAATCGGAATCTCAGAAACACTCCGAAAAAAGAGAGATGATTCATGAACAAGTGGAAACTACTCAGAATTGATTATTAATGGTAAATTTGTTGGTGAAGACAGTGCGACGTGAGGATGAGGCACAACAGACGGCAACAGACTACTCAGTTCGTCGTCGTCTGCATCAGGAGACTCGTGCTAGAGATGAACTGCAGTGGCAGAAGGACTGTCTCTTGGAGGAGATACGTGCACAGGAGAAAGAAGTAAGATAATTTTACAAACAATCTAGTGATTTATAATCCTTAACAGTGCAGAAATTGTACAGTATCTAGGTGATATTTTATGCAAATTCATAATGCAGAAATGTTAGGGAAGATATGTACCCAAGAGAAGGGAGTAAGATCTCCCTCTCTTATGATTATGAGCTGAAAAAAGGTCATGTAAATGAAAGAGAAAGATTAAGTTGTGTTGGAAACGAAGCCTATTAATTAAAACAAAACTTTCTTGCTTAATTTCTTGATATGCTGATGCTGGATCTTGAAATACTAATTATTTCCAGTTTATACAAGTACAGTATCACTTACCGTATATACTCGTCTATAACCCCCCTTCGTATATAGGTCGACCCCGATTTTATGACCAAGAAATCGTTAATTTATGATATTCCTCGTTTATAGGTCGACCCAAGTTTTTGAGGGTAATGGAACAACAAAACCTTCAGAAAAACTCTACGTCCTATAAACTTGTTTACCATTTATTATTACGACACTTTACACTGAAACGCAGGTAGTTTCAACAAAAATATTGTATATTTCCATTCAAGTATTTATTCAAGTCAATTAGGAGGGAATATTATTGTAATACAACAGTTTTTTAACTAAACCATTCGAAAAGCGATTACGGTAACATCTTTTGAACGAAAGAAAGCGAGTCATTGTTTTCGTCACGATTTTATCCCACTTTCCACTGTAATACGTACGTCATTTCAGGAAAAAATGTTACATTTCCGTGAATGTAGTATATCAAGCACAGTATGAATAGAATATCATTGTAATATAACAGAATTTTAACCGAAAACTATTAAAAAAACGAATAACATCTCAAGAACATCGGAAGCTTAGGTGAAGTCTTTTGTTTTCGTCATGTATTTTATCCTATTTTACATTGAAATACATCACGTTTCAGCAAAACTACTATTTATTTCCGAGAATATATTCATTCAGGCACAGTTTAGGTAAAATATACGTGTGATGTAATAGTTTTTTAACTGAAAACGATTCGAAAAACACGTTCCCTCTAGCCCTGTTCAAGGAGAGGACTGGGAGAAGCTGTTTGGTGCTGCAGACGATGACAAGGAAAATGATTTTGATGGATTTTAATGAAAATATTCAGAAATATGGTATCGTAATATTTATTCAAGTCAATTAGGATATTATTGTAATACAATACAACAGTTTTTTAACTAAACCATTCGAAAAGTGATTACGGTAACATCTTTTGAACGAAACAAAGCGAAAGTTATTGTTTTCATCACAATTTTATCCCACTTTCCACTGTAATACGTATGTCATTTCAGCAAAAAATATTACATTTCCGTGAATGTATTATATCAACCACAGTATGAATAGAATATCACTAATATAACAGTATTTTAACCGAAAACTATTAAAAATACGAGTAACATATCTTGAACATCGGAAGGTTAGGTAAAGTCTTTTGTTTTCTGCATGTAGTTTATCCTAATTTACATTGAAATACATCACGTTTCAGCAAAACTACTATTTATTTCTGAGAATATGGAAATGTAATATTTTTGCTGAAATGACGTACGTATTATAGTGGAAAGTGGGATAAAATCGTGACAAAAACAATGACTCGCTTTCTTTCGTTCACAAGATGTTACCGTAATCGCCTTTTGAATGGTTTTCAGTTAAAAACTGTTATATTACAATAATATTCTATCCTAATTCACTTGTGATGTAAAAGTTTTTTAACTGAAAACGATTCGAAAAACACGTGTACCGTCAGCTGATACGGCAGAGCCCTGGTCGTGGAGGCTTTGTGTTTGCATCGGCCCTTCTTAAGCAGCTTTTAATTTTAGCGTACGTTGAAATTGTGTTTACCGGTGTATTCTTATTTTCTTGCTTCTTATTTTCCAGAAATATGACAAGTTTTTATATAATACAATGTTACGGTACTTTTAATTTACAAGTATTCATTTTTAAAAATACAGAAGACACCAAACAAATACTAGTACGGATATTTGCGTGACTCTCCCGCCAAAAAAGACCCAACAGCTGGTACTCTCTCCCTCAGCCCTACCAAAAATAGCCCAACATCTTTCTTGTTTATTCTCTTCCAATTTCTCACTTTAACTGGTATTTTTTACTTCATATTGCCTACATCAGATAAACTACAGTAATTGAGGTTAGATATTGTTATAAATTTGATTACCGGGTCCTGGCAGGTACCGTTAGAACCACCTGACCCTACCAACAGTGTTGCAAGTCAGACAGCATTTTTTTTTTTCACATTTTTGGTGTCTCCATTTGTTAATTTTTTTTCTGTGGGGTTTGCACAATAGTATACTGTTTTACCTACAGTATTGTAAAACGATTTGAGAAAAGAAATACTCGGTAACTTAAAATTTTAAAAGGAAAATTTTGAAACTGGCAACTGTGTAGATGACCTGACTCACATCATATTGATGTTTCAAATTTAATTAACAAAAATTTATGTATCTATAAATAAACTTTTAAAAATGAATACTTTATGTTTTACATACTCCTGTGCATACCATACCATGCATTTGGCTACTTTGGGCTTGCTATGATGACGCAAGAGATCTGCCCTGGCAACTGTACCGACACTCACAGCGGGTGGTGCGTTGGTGCATCGTTTCCATTGTTTACTGGTAGTTACTGGTAAATTTTTTTCAACCTAACGAAACTATTACCCGTATAGAGGTCGACCCCCAACTTTTTGCCCAAAAATTTGGTCTTAAGAACTCGTGCTATACACGGGTATATACGGTATTTGATAAAATGCCTTTTTTTCAGATATAATAATATACAATATGCATAAGAACCTTGACTTCATAGTGTTTATATCATGCCTAAATCTCTGAACACTGTTTTTCCTGGAGAATAATGCAGTTTTATATACATACATATAAACATACACTGTATAATGATAAAAAAATAAGATGAAAAACACAGATGTGTGCAAAAGTTGTGATATAATGATATTTTTATAGTTAAGGTGACAGTACAGTCATCAGTAAGTACTGTATGATGTTGTAGAAAATGCACTTGTGAGGCCCATAGTACACATGTGCCCTTCTGGTAGGTACTTGGTCATTCTGAGTGCCTGAGCAGATGAGCTGAGTGCTTCTTTATGTCAAGTCAGGCACCGAAGTGTGACTGTTCATCACCAGTGTATGATTTTGCCACAACTGCCTCATTTTTTTGAGAAAGTAAAAGATCATTTAGTTGTTTGTAACTTGATGCTGTATAAGAATTGTAAAGCAGATATTTGGGGGACTGATACGATGAGATGGCTGATAAGACTGGTATTTGGAAGTAAATGATCAGATAAAGTTGAGGTGAATAGAGGCATATAATGTAGTGATATGGATGAAACAGCACAACACATACAGTAGTTTAGGGACAACACAAAGCTACTTGGTTGTGTCTTATGTACCCATGTTGTTGTAAAGAAAACTATCCCATACTGGTGATGGATATATAGTAATCTCATCACTCTTAGATCTTAGACCTGGAGGAGCAGCTGCGAGCATCATCGTTACCCTTGAAGGTGGCTCAAACACGGCTTGAGGGACGGACGCAGCGGGTGAGGAATGACCTGGTGAGAGATGCCCCACAAGATGGTCTCATGGCTGAGGTACAGCATCTGACAGAGACTCGCAGGCTCTTACGTGATAGCCTGGCCCGTGCCCTGTAAGTTTCAGGGCAGTGAACACTTTCTTAAATCTAAACTATGATGAAAGTTTCAGTATAATGTTGATGCTTGCATTGCTATGAATCACTTGAAGTGTGAAATATTTTTGTTGCATTGAGTTGGATATGAGCACTGTCTCATGTACCACCTGCATCTCATTCACATCTTTCATTGGAGATAATGACTGTTTTAATGTGACAGGTATATAAAATTTATGAATCATGTTTATCATACAGTACTGTACTTAAATATCACAGAAGACAAAATGCTCACAAGGTATACTCTTCTGTTTGTGAAGAAAGAAATTATAATGTTTCCAATATGCTGAAGATGCAGTACAGCATAATCCTTTCCTTTAATACAGTGACCCCTCGTTTAACGAACACCTCGGTTAACGTAATTTCGATTAACGAACTGCCTTCCATAAGGATCTTCAATTCCGTTAACGAAAAAAATTCGATTCACGAAGTTCTTACGTAACCGACCTCAACATGTTTTCGCTTGCACTGACCAGGCAACCAGCTTTAGTATCAGTCCGCCAATACATTAATCGGATCTAGGGCTTAAATTCCTTACTATTTTAGTAAATATCAAGAAGTTTATACTATTCAATAATTTTAAAGTTTAATATTCAATTTTTAGTCATTTTAACAATTATTGAACATAATTGAAGGTAAAGTGACTAGTTTAATGTGCGGCATCCAGCCTCTTAACACAGCAAACAGGAGTTACTGTCTCTCTCTGTTTTCACTGGAGGTAACATCTTGCTTGAGACTCTCTTCAACTAAACGCTTTTTTCTGTGTTTCCAAGCAAATTATTGGTCATTTTGAAATATATTTTACATATTGACAATATATAATGCAGTGCAGTGTTGATTTAAAGAAAATAATCTTGAATTACACCAAGAGAGCTAAAATTTTATGGGTGAAATGGCGCCATGGGGTGACTTCTCTTCCACCCCAATGCCTTCTCTTCTTCCTTCTCCTCCACCCCCATTCTAAATCCCATCATCATCATCATCCAGGAGCCTTCTACATACACACCTCAAAGTAAGTGAACTTTTCTACCATTTTTGTTGAATTTAGGAAATTTTCGGTGAGCTGGAACCAATTACCCAACAACCCATTGAAACAATGGTTTCACTTAACGAACTTTTCGGTTAACGAACGACCTTCTGGAACGGATTGAGTTCGTTAACGGAGGGGTCACTGTAATTAATATTCAGTCAATTAGACCAAAGACAGCTTACAAAGTCATTCAAAGCTTGTTTCCAGTATTGGTAGTCCTTATGCCAGCAGCATTTTGTGGTTTGATAATTCTCGTTTTGCTGAAGAAGCTTAATTGATGTAGAATCTTCGTTCCAATGGGTTTAAAAATGCTGCCATTAGGCAACATTATGTACTATACCCAAACTGTGCTGAGCATGATTCTGGGTGTTATAATCATGATAAAGATATATAGACTGCCGGATAATACATTATTCAAAAGCCACAAAACAATATGCTCTGACTAGTCACTTCATCAGATTTTCAAATATATTATAAAAACATGAAACATTTTCTTAGATTTAGGACACCTCTAAAGTACAGTACTCCCTCTGTATCGACGGATTTTTTATCGACGGTTTCGATTATCGACGGATTTTTATTTTGGCTTTATTTGAACTCTGCGGGCCTTGTTTGTACTTTCGCCGCTAGGCGGCACTAGTGGCGTGACTAGCGTCTACCCGCGGCCCGCCTTCCCTGAACACAGACATCAGCCAAGCCGCATGGGCAACAGTCTTTGATTTTCAACTTTTGCTGGTGGTTCATCACATCAACTTATATCACCATGCCTCCCAAACGACCTGCTGCTCCCTCTGGATCTACACCTAAGAGGGCAAGACGAGTGCTGACGCTGAATGAGAAGAATGAAGTGCTGAAACAACTCGACAGCGGTATGAGCTACGCAGCTGTTGGCCGCCACTTTGGGCTCAACGAATCCAGTGCGCGTGGAATTAAACGACGTGCAAAGGATCTGAAGCACGCTTTAGCTTCAAGTGCACCAGTGACATCAAAAGTGACAAGCCATGTGCGTGATGATGCCCTCATTAAAATGGAAAAAGCACTGAACATTTGGATAGAGGACCTAAACCGCCGCCGCATACCACTTGACTCGAAATTTATTAGGCAGAAAGCTAAGGAACTTTATGATAAGTTTTCTAAAGGTGAAGATCATGGTGTTGGTGATGGTGATGGTGATGATCAGGGTGATGGTGATAATGAGGGTGATGGTGATAATCAGGGTGATGGTGACAATTTGAAAAAATTTGCAGCTAGCAAAGGATGGTTCGAGAAATTCAGACATCGTTATGGGCTGCATAATATAAAAGTGACTGGCGAAGCAGCATCAGCAGACACTGTGGCAGGGGAAGCATACCCTGCAGAGTTTGCTAACCACATAGAACAAAAGGGTTATAGGCCGGAACAAGTTTTTAATGCTGATGAGTCAGGCCTATGGTGGAAGAAGATGCCACGCCGAACCTACATCTCTAAAGAGGAAAAAAGTGCCCCTGGATTTAAAGTTGCGAAGGACCGAGTGACAGTGATGCTATGTGGGAATGCGGCAGGGCATATGATTAAGCCCATGTTGTTATACACTGCCGGCACCTCACAACAACAAGACGCAGTACCTGCCCACACCCCTCAAGAAGATGCAGACCTTGACTCATCATACTCATCTGACTGGTCAGGCTTTTAATAAGCCTCAATCATCACACTTGTATATACTGTACACTGTATTGTTTACTGTAAGGACCGATGTTCACTTCAATAAATGAAATCGTAAGTTTGCTAGTATTTTTGTCCACTTATTATATTATTATTTATACACTATTATTTAAGGTTATGTGTAAAGGAAACGCATTAATGCTTAAAGGTACATTTATTCAACATATGCTAATAATAGTTAGAAAAATTACGTAACCATCACGGTATCGACGGCCGTCTACAGAACGTAACCCCCGTCGATAAAGAGGGAGTACTGTTCCTTAATGTTATTGGTAAGTCTAATATGAGGCAGAATCCCAATAAATCTTCAGTGATCAGACATATCAGAACAAAATTAGGATTGAAGGCTAATCTGTCTGATGTTCAATCCTACAGAGATACACTTCATGCCCTACAGCGCCACTTACGTACAGTAGATGTGGACTTGGGCCGCAAGAGCCTCTCCGTCACCCTGGAGAAGAAGGTGCAAGGCTCACGTCAGGCCCTCAAGGATCGCAAACCATCTGAGACGCTCACACACACTAACCTCACTCTCACAGGCTCTCTCAGGGCACACCCAACACATATACTCTAAGTGGAGAGAGAGAATGGTCTTAAGTCTCCCAGTTCAGCCAAAATTATCCAGATATTTTAGCTGGAATAATAATGAAAGAAAAACATCCAAATTTTCAAGGAATCCTGCCTATGACTGTATAAGACAAAGAGAGAATTGGATCTTACAATTTCAAGCTACAAGTACAGTACTCTCTTTGATTTTTCTCCTACTAGCAAGCAACTTCACTTTGATACCTCCAAGAAGTAATTTTTGTTGAACAGAATCTGAACTAGGCCACTTTTATCCAGCACGGCACAATTTGTTGGGGCATCTTTATTATAGGATTCTGTTCTCTTTATTTTGTTTGAGTCATTTAATGTTCTCCACTTACTCTTTGTCTCTTTCTTACTCTTCCTCTTTGTACCAACACAGAGTTTATTGTGTCAGGTAATGAGATAGGGAAGAGAAAGTCTAGGTTGTGTGGTGTATGGATAATGAAAATAATTGCATTACTGTATGCATAATACTGTAGGTGATAGGGAAGAAAGTGTTTTGGCACTGGAAGGAGTTTAGAACTTATCCAGTTTAGCACTTACATTTGGAACATTCAACAAAATGGGTTCACTCAGTAACATTTCATAATACTATATTCTGCACAAATTTAATTGGTTAAATAGATTAGATGTATGTCATTGGATGTTTTATGTAGTTGGCAATTGTGGTCGCTTACATACAGGGTATTTTAATTTTACCCCAAATGCAGGTCACTATTTTTTGTTTTGTGTTTGTTGATTATTCATAGTTGAAGATATTTTACAACTTAATACTGTTGTATACTGTTTTATAAATTTTCCTTGATTGTCTTCAATTTGCATATAATTAACCTAGAATTGGGTCTCTGCTTTCTTCTTTATATGTGAAAAATTATCTGTTAATCCCTTAAGGATTTGGACAAGTATTATCATCCAGTAAGAAACATTCTGGGTTTAAACGAGTATAAGCTTCCCTCCCTAAATCACCCTTAATTTGTTCTTGAATGTTCGAAAACCATATACAGATATTGTTGTTGAAGTGTTTGGCATCTCTCCACTCTACCCTACTGTCTTCAGTTCTCCCATACACACCCTTAGTAAGCCTTGTGTTGTTGTGGATCTAAAGTGTATGCATGTGTCAAATGGCGGGCTTCCATTAATGGAGAAGAATGCGTGTGTTGCCACTGGTACGAAAGAAACCCATAAGAGGTGTGGAAAACTATTTCAGTGTTCATTATATATATATATATATATATATATATATATATATATATATATATATATATATATATATATATATATATATATATATATATATATATATATATATATATATATATATATATATATATTGTATATAGAAAAGTAAAATGTGATACAAAACTATAAAAAAAAAGTGTGAGGATGTATTCTGATAGGGAGATATAAGCAAGCATACAGGAGGCAGCTTGAGGGAATTCCTGCGCCATTAGGATGTCATGGAACTTTTCATCACATTGCTGGACGTTAAAATGATGTGAGTATGCAATATTTTGGTGATTTCTCAATTTCTTAGGGTTGTTGGGAGTTTTTTAGCTTTTTTTTTTTATAATTTGATTTTGACCAACCAGGGGGTGGAATTTCAAGGGAAGATTAATTTGGTAATATGTTCTTAAGATAGGTGGGATTGGTGTTAACAGAGAAGGAACTGATTTTGGAAAAAGTATTTAAAAGTTACAGGCTGCAAGTTTGGGTTAGATAGACCGCACAACAATGCTGGCAAGAACTTAACTCTTTTTGTACACATTCCGTTATGCTCAAGAGGTGAACTTTCATGTGAATTCCAATACAGTAGCCATTATCAGCACCTTTATACCTGTATGGAGGTACTACTTCTATTGCTGTTCAATCATAAGTCATCTCCACAATTATCCAGTAAAACATTAATTTTTATTGTACCCAGTATATATTACCCCCATCCTTTACTTCTTGCATTCTTCCCTTTGCAATGGTTGCTTTTACTTCTTTGGTAACTCCTTCCTGAATTAAGTTTTGCCTCCCTTTCATATGTGGAATATTAGTCTACTGTCTTATGATCCCCTAAAATGTTAAATCACATGGCTCTTAAGATTATCTCTCCCATCACTATCAAAATATTTCACAGATCTTCAGAAATACTTATACTGTACAACTCTTGCATGGAAAAGAAAAACAATTTCACACACATTTCACCTATTTACTCTTACTGTATCAGAAAAAAAATCCTTTCAAACTCCTACTGCTTTTATCTTTACCTTCCAGTCTCACCCTCTTCACTATCTTACCGCTTTTATCACAACTGCCTCCTCCCAGACACTTTATGATTATTCTGTAACCTTGTTTCTTGTACTTATCATTATTTTAAGGCCATTTTCCACTTGTGTGCCTCATTTATATTGTTACATCCAGATGCAAGTCCACAATTATTCTCCCCTCTGTTCTTGCACTACGGTGAGTCATCTCTCTCACTCGATCTTTTGTGCCTCCCCCCACCCCTACTGTACCTGCCCCACCACACCATATCACCTCCATCCCCACTGTACTTCGCCACGCCTAGTACATTGGCACCCTTGAGCCTGGCCGCACTGTTTGTAAACTTTGTGGTCAGCCGACTCTCACACCCTCTTTCACCACATCCTCATTTGCCCTATGACCTCCCCCTACAGGGGTGCCACCTCTTCCCTCCCTGACCAGATATCCCTCCTCCTAGTGACATGCCTGGCACTTGACATTATTAGGGACCTGCCACACTTTGCCAAAAACAGATAAATTGTACCAGGAATTTTCCCCCCACACATTCATCTTTCTGTCACTTGCTGACAAAACCCATGACCCTTCAGGCCTTTCATGCCCTTAATGCACGAGTCATTAAGGCAAGCATGAACTCTTCATGCTTCCCAGTTGGGCACTGTAAATGCTTCTGCGCTTCACCTTGCACAGGATGTAAGGGGGTGCCCAATAAACTAGCCCCCTCGTGGGCAATCTGTAAAATCTGAAGTTACTGTCCATTTACAGTATAAGACGTGTCTCATATTGTATCAAGCAATGTTTTGGCATTTCACACCAGAACTCTACACCTATGAATAATGCACATGCTTTGAAATACCTGTGCTGTATTCAGTACATGTATTTATATCATGACATTTAGCAAAGGAATACATAATTTATGGTTCGCCAGCTTCTGTAGTACATGTATTGTATTATTTTCTCATTTTTATGGACCCTTTCAGTTATACTGTACCCCATTTTATGCCTAACCCTTTAGTTATACATTTATCTTAATTCAGTAGCTTTGCCCACTGCTCTCCATTTTATTCTTTTCCTTTCTCATTGCCTCCCTATATGGGGAATTTCCCAGGGGAAAAAGAATCGATATACAAAAGTCGAACAGGAATTACTTGTACCCATTTATTATTTACAAGGGTATTCTTGATCATGTACTTTTTCTAGATTGCCCTATAAATCCTTTTAATAAAAAAAAAAAACATCTGTACATGTATACCAATTCATGATGTTGAGGCTACTGTACTGTTTTAATTGCACAATCATTTATAGGCCCCCAAACTGGTCAGAAGTGATATACATACTGTATATAATTATTTTTTTCTGCCACAACCAAGGGGGCATTACAGACACCTGGGTACGTACTCTTAATTTTCATGCCAGATATTTTTTTGCACTTACAAGCTCTAGGTTTTCTCAGTACCACAGGTATCTTCCTTTAACTTTTTGTATTGGGTGTAATATTCCTACTTTTTAGTTCATACAGTAACTCGCCAGTGAAATATAGCTTACCTACATTCCTTAGTGTTTTCTCTCATAAATCGGTATTTATCAGTCATGTACTGTACTAACAATGATGAATCTAAATTCATGGTTAAAAAATCATGCATGCCAGGTATAGTAATAAAGAAAGTGTCAAAAAACCTACTTTTTAATTTTTTTTTTTTTACATTTCTATATACAGTACATAGTTTTGATAGACTCCATACATAACATGTTACACTGATGATATATGATGGGTTATGATAAATGTAATGACTACACATTCACAGGAAAATGGTTTATATTTGATGCTTACCATATTCATTTATTACCGGTAAATATTAATACAAATTGGGCTGCTGGCAAAGCAATTAGTTTCAAATGCTGTATCAAATTCACCTAAATATTAAAGGCAAATCTTTTAAGACTTGCTGGAATTCTCAAAATATAGTTAACTAATACACTGGTATAGTTGTGCATTTTCATTCATGTAACATATATAACAATCGCAACTATCAAGTCCGGCTTCACAATCATTCACTCTTCAATTTTGCCAGCAATTCTGAATCTCTGAAAAGGTAGAAATCCTTTTCTTCAAGAGTTATCTTGGTTCCACCAAACTCTGGGAGCATCACTTCATCTCCCACAGCCACTGCCGGAGGAATAACTTGTCCAGACTGAAATGAAACGAGTGTTGAGAGGGAGAGAAGAAATATTGAGTTAATTACATGTAAATCTAACATTGTACAAAATTGTACTTATATAAAACCATTTCCACTATTAGAGCCTTGAGATGTAGTCCTGCACAATAACTAAGATGACCAGTTTCTGTAAGATTTGTGAAAAGTTAACTGGTGGGGTTGAAAGCTATTGGTAGCATATATGGAATATTCACAAGGGATTAAATGTTTTATTTCATGCAAATTCCTTAATTTCTATTATAAGTGATGTAAAAATACACAGTACTATAGTTCAAATTTTCGTAGTGGAGATCACTGGTATTTCATGTAGGTAAGCAGGTACAGTACATATACAGTATGATTTGTAGCCTCTGGCTTACATAAGAAAATAAGGAGTCTGCAATAGGCCGGTTGGCCTGTGCATGGCAGCTCCTATCGAGAGTTACTACCACTCTCTATCATCCATGAATATATCCAGCCTCCTTTTGAAACTTTCCAGCACTTACTACAAAATTGCCAAGCTTATTCCACTCGTCCAACACCCTATTTGTGAACCAGTTCCTTCCTATCTCCCTCCTAAACCTAAACTTATCCAACTTAAATCCGTTGTTCAGAGTCCTATCCTGCTCGGATATTATAAGAACTTTATCTATATCACCTTTATACTGTAAGGATTTTTAGGTTTCCTGGGGAGGTCTCGTACTACAGTGCCAATTTTTTTTTTTTTTTTTTTAATTTGATTCACCAAGTATAATACTCACCTCAGTTCTTACACCTTCCCCGACTGCCATCACTTTGCCAAAAAGAACCTTTGCAACCGATTTCTCTGGGATGAGTATACCACTACTGGTTTTTGTGACTGCTTCAGCCTTCTGGACCAGTACACGGTCAAACAATGGAATAAATCTTCTTAGAGCACCAGCCTGAAATAAAACTTGGTTTTAGAGTTTTCCAGTCAAAAAAGTGTACACGTCTTCCTGTGTATTATATTGGTTTCAGCATAACATAGGACCACAAAAATGATAAACAATAGCTTATTAAGTTATTACAGTCAAGTTTAGTGTATGACGGTTTATTTCCATCGAAGTTCTTGGTTATGTTTAAATAGTAACCATGTTGAATTAAAAACACCCAAAGCCCTAACCTGATATTTTGTATTAATGTTCTCAAAGGTGCCTATACCACCCACCCATTATAATAATCTTAAGATCGGTGAACGAGTCTTAGATTATCGTGACAACCTACCAACAGTTTAAAGTTCCACCACCCGGCGTCCAGGTTCACATCCCTTGTTTTATCAAAATCTTTGTTGAAAGCATTATGCCACTTGTGTTTTATGTGAAATAATCACATAAGCACTTTGAGAAACAATTGTCAGTGAATACAACAGCCTAGTAATTACCATTTTAAGTCAATGAAGGAAAGGTCTGAGACAGGTGATCCTGGTCGTCGAGCGTCGTCTGCTGGTCCTGGAGCCTTGTTGTGGACACATGGCCGCCTCCCCACGCATGCGCACCGACGATGCACTTCTTAAAAATAGTAATAAACGAGTGTACATACACCAGTAATGTCAAGTGGCTTTGTGTGTTGGAATAAATAATTGTATCAAAATTATTATCTAAGGAGATAATATGCCACTTAACTTCAAAATCCACAATTAAGAATGAGACAGAGAGCTGTAGTATATTCTAGAATTATGCCCTTAACTGTGCATAACTCCCCAATTATCAAATAACATAAATTGCAACACGACATAGTCATAGTAATATGATTATTTATCAATCATGGAAAGTATGAAATAAATATAAAGTTATGATAATGGAACTGGAGATGAAAAACACAAATATAATTCTGATTGATAGTACTGTACAACCAGGGAGTGTTACGTCATGCAGTACATTATGCTCGGTCGGGGCCGGCTGTGAGGGCTGCTCCTGTGGCCGCGGCCCTCAACCCGGCAGAGCGTCTTCTTCCCGGCCATTCGAAGGCGTGCAGCACGTCTCTGGTTGATAGGCTGCGTATTTTTCGCTGTGGTCATCAAATAAAATTGTTAGGTGAGTTAAACTGTTTGTCACAGCTTACAAGTGAACATGAAGTTAATTGTGTGTGTATTTTGGTTTCGTGTAACGTTTTATTTCACTTTAAATATGTAATTGAAAGTAGGAATGACTGGCCGGTTGGCAGGTAAGGCCTCACATGGTGTACTCAGCCTAGTTGCCAGGCGACACACGTTGTCTCGCTACGTTTCTCTTTTAGTAACGTAATATGTTTCTGTAGTCTTTACTCATGCACAGTGTTTTTGGATACGGCGAGAAAGTTATAAATTTTAAATATTTTATTTTAGGAAAAGTAAACTTGTCTTCAGGGATTTTCAGTGTAGCTACCATTATGTTGAAATTGAATTGAAACAGTTTATTTAGCCAGAAAAACACATACAGAGTGGATAATAATAACAATATTAACATGGCTGAGCCAGTTGAGAACCTGAGCTCTTTGAGGCACCTGATATATACTATACATTTATTGCAAGGAAGTATTATGTAACATTTAGTATCATCTGGAATAGTACAATAGCATGGTAGTAATAAGTACATCTCAGTGTTACCACGGTTATCACTTCAATACTGTATTTATTTATTTTATTTTTTTTTATTTTTTTTTTATTCTATTTTTATTTTATTTATTTATTTATTTATTTATTTATACATACATATACACATACATTGTTGATAATACGCTTAGCCTGTAGGAAGTGATTATTGAGTCAGGTTACCTGGTAAAATGGCATACAGTTGTATACAGCAGGGTTGTATGTTTCTATCAACGATATACCTTACCTAACATCAGCACCTAACCTCGTTTCAAATCAGGTCAGGTAGTGATTTGACATGCCTCAAGGACTGGTTAGGGAGGGACGCGCACGTGTGAACTTAAGAAAATAAGGAGTCTGCAATGGCAGCTCCTGTCGAGAGTTACTACCACTCTATCATCCATGAATATATCCAGCCTCCTTTTGAAACTTTCCAGCATTCCAGCACTTGCTACAAAATTGCTAAGCTTGTCCCACTCGTCCACCACCCTATTTGTGAACCAGTTCCTTCCTATCTCTCTCCTAAACCTAAACTTATCCAACTTAAATCCGTTGCTCCGAGTCCTATCCTGCTCAGATATTATAAGAACTTTATCTATATCGCCTTTATTGATTCCTTTCACCCACTTAAATACTTCTATCATATTTCCCCGCACTCTTCGTCTTCCTAGGGAATGCAAGTTTAGTTTCTTTAACCGACTAGTGAATTGATATCCATTCTATAATAAGGGCACCAGAACTGAACCGCATTATGGAGGTGCGGTCTGACTAGCGCAAGATATAGTTGCAATGAGACCTCTGCACTCTTATTACTTACACTTCTAGATATAAAACCCAATACTCTGTTTGCCATATTTCGAACATTTACGCACTGTTTTCTAGGCCGTAGGTCGGGGCTTACAAGTACCCCTAGATCTCTTTCACAAGTCGACTTCTCTAGGTTGATGTTGTTAAGGCTGTATACATTGACAGTATTTGTTCTTCCAATATTAAGTACGCTGCACTTGCTGGTGTTGAATTTCATTTGCCATTTTTCAGACCACCCCTGCAGTTTATTTAGATCCTCCAGTAATGCATTTGCATCCTGCCCTGAATTAATCTGCCGCCCTATTTTGGTGTCATCTGCAAACTTGCTTATGTCACTGCTGATCCCAGTATCTAGATCAGTGGTTCTTAACCTGGGGGGGCGCAAGCCCTAGGGAAAAAGTAGGAATTTCTCTAATTATAATTATAGTTTTTATTCTCTTAACAAGAGCGTGGGCTAATATTGAGGAGTTTATGAAAAAATTGCAAAAGTATCGCCTTATAACTTTAGTTTTCTATAGGCTACTTTTTTTTACTTAGGGCTTACCATTTTCTGTACTTATTGACCCCCCTCCCTATCCCTCGAAACCCATGGGGGGGGGGTGTTTAACTCGTCCTGGACCTGTATACTGCTCGTTGGTGACTGGTGAGCCCCGTTCTCTCCCAGTCTTCTGCACAAGTCCGTGGCAATTATTCCTCCTCTCATATTTATTCAGTTAAGGCTGTTGAGGTATGTTTTATCCCAGTTTATATTTACCTAAAAATAGTAAGCAGCCATAAGTTTATTGGTGAATTGTGAACTCGAATGTGTTGCTGTTTGTTATTCTCAAGTTTTAAATTCCGTTTGTATTTTATCAGAAGTTGGTGCTTAAAATCATGTGGTAACAGGTGGTTATGGTAAAGTTGTATTTATGATGATATTGATTTGTTTCTTAATAATCATGTGTTTATGATCATGGTGTGTTTACTATAATGTTGTGGTGTTTGTTAATATTTACTTAATAATTGTGGTGGTGTTTATGATCATGTTGTGATCATTGATGTTTGTTAATAACCATGTGGTGTTTATGATCATGTGATGTTTGTTAATGATATGGTGGTGTTTATGATCATGTGATAACATAAGAACATAAGAAAATAAGGAGTCTGCAATAGGCCGGTTGGCCTGTGCATGGCAGCTCCTGTCGAGAGTTACTACCACTCTCTATCATCCATGAATCTATCTAGCCGCCTTTTGAAACTTTCCAGAGTTCCCGCACTTACTACAAAGTTGCTAAGCTTGTTCCACTCGTCCACCACCCTATTTGTGAACCAGTTTCTTCCTATCTCCCTCCTAAACCTAAACTTATCCAATTTGAATCCGTTGCTCCGAGCCCTATCCTGCTCGGATATTATAAGAACTTTATCTATATCCCCTTTATTGATTCCTTTCACCCACTTAAATACTTCTATCATATCTCCCCACACTCTTTGTCTTTCTAGGGAATGCAAGTTAAGTTTCTTTAACCTATCCTGATATGGAAGGTTTCTAAGTTCCGGAATCATTTTTGTCATTCTTCGCTGCACCGACTCTAGTGAATTTATATCCATTCTATAATAGGGGCACCAGAACTGAACCGCATAATCGAGGTGCGGCCTAACTAGCGCAAGATATAGTTGCAATAAGACCTCTGCACTCTTGTTACTTACACTTCTAGATATAAAACCCAATACTCTGTTTGCCTTATTTCGAACATTAACGCACTGTTTTCTAGGCCGTAGGTCCGGGCTTACAAGTGATGTTTGTTAATGATAGGGTGGTGTTTATGATCTTGTATGATTGTAGTCACTTGTAGTGTTTACGAACTTTACGATTATATGCTTGTTATTGATCATGTGGTTGTGATTATCATGATGTTGTGGTGTTCATGAGCACGTGGTGATGTTTATCTTACCTTACACGTGCCTCATGTTTTGTTCACAGATTTGTGTTGTCCACTGCACATAAAATAATTCGCAATGAGTGCAAAGAAGCGTAAGTATCTTGAAGTTATGTTGGACGGCAGTGGGGCATTTCGGCAACAAACTTCAAAGGTTGTTGAGGCTTCCTATGAGATCGCCTTGTTGATTGCAAAGAGCAAGAAGAGCCATAACATCGGAGAGTTTCTCATAAAACCAGGCATACTCCGTGCAGCAGAACTCGTTCTGGGGAAAGATAGTGCAAACAAGCTTTCCCAAATTTCACTTATCAAACGATACAGTCAAGGGAAGGATCGATGAATTGTCTCGAGACATCAAAGATCAAATTCTCGACCAAGTAAGAGATTCTCCTGTTTTTGCCATCCAGTGTGACAAATGACTGACATCGCTCAGTGTTCTCAGCTACTGATGTATGCTCGTTTCGTGTCAGGCAACAGTGTGAAAGAGGAAATGCTGTTCTGTCACCCCATGGAAAGTTGTACAACAGCAGCAGCTCTTTTTCATGATGTATCAAACTTAACTTTCAGAAAACCAACTTTCGTGGGACTCGCTGGTAGGGTTGTGCACTGATGGAGCTCCAGCCATGCTTGGTCTGCAGTCTGGATTCATTACAATGGTGAAAGAAAAAAATCCGTCTGTTGTAGGTACCCACTGCATACTTCATCATGAATCCTTAGTATCCAGAACTTTACCTGCTGAAATGAGGGTTGTCCTGAATGTGGCTATCAAGGTAGTCAACTTTATCAAAGCTGGAGCCTTAAACAGTCGTCTCTTCAAACTGCTGTGTACAGATATGGAATCTGAACATGAAACCTTGATTTTTCACATGAACGTACGATGGCTATCAAAGGGGAACATGCTTGGACGGCTTTATGAACTACGAGAAGAAGTAGCAATATTTCTTGATTCGAAGCAGAAGGCAGATCTCCATGACAAGTTCCAGTCTGAAGGCTTTCAGCTATCTATAGCTTACCTGGTGGACATCTTAAACTACAAGGGAAAAACATCATCATCATCATCATCATGCACCACGACACCATTCGATCGAGTTTCAATCGTATTTGATATTCATTTCAGACGGAAATCAATAGCTTTGAGACCCCTTCCCCCTTACCCATCAATCTTAACGATTTTTTTAGTAAATTGCATGAATAAAATAACCAACCAACAAAACAAAACCTGAGCTAACACTTTTTTGATGATGAAATTGCAATTGACTTTAAATAATCCCTATCACAATGTCGGCACAACTCTTTCCACCTGTTCAGCCATGTCTGGTTATTCTGGTACTGAAAAATCAAATCTCTGCTCCCGACACACTCGCGCATTGTTCATTTGCCAAGACAAAAATCTCTTGCCAAATTACAAGTCTCCTATCAGTGACTGTCCAAATCTAATAATGTTGAAAAATTGACTTCTCGGTTATCCTTAATTTCCGGCGGGAATATCAGAAGAAAAAGATCTTAGAATTGTCTAAACACC